TAGCTCCACTGTGGCCCTGATGAGGTGTTTTCCAGATTCAGTTCTTCTCCTGCTTTCAGCTTTGTTACATCACCACCACCTCTCCCTCCAGGGTGCTGAGTTCACAAGCTTGTGACTTGTATTAGCCCTTGGAACAGTGTGTTTTATCCTGAACAAGATGCATCTGTGTTTCTCTTCAACCTGTTCTCCTATGGCTGATGTACGTCGGTTCTTAATCCACCTTTGGAAATGATGTCCCTTAATAGGAATTAAGCTCTGCCGTGTTGATTGCATGCTGTCAAAAACGTCGTACCTCAATTTGTGCAAGGCTTAAAATGCCTGTTTCAGATTTGATCTTCTATGTATTGTATAATGTAGCTACTTGTGGAAGTAAAAGGCTTTTAAAGTATTGAAGATCAAAGTGCATGATAAATGGACTCTCGCAAAAGAAAGAACTGACTCTGAATTGCCTAAAATGAGTCATCAGTAATTCCAGATTTCTTACAAACCTATGTAGGTTTGTAATGTATTTGCATCATTCCCTTCTATAGTCTTTATTGGCTCTAACACTAATCGCTGTAATAGTGGTAAAGCATTAACATGTTGACTACAAAAACTATTTCCACTTTAATTAGGACTTGGGTTCTAATGGCCTGTTTTCACTAAGTGGTACAGTACGGTTCAGTATGGGTCACCTTTATCAAGCAGCATTTCCACTGCCAAAAGAGTATCAATAGTACGTGGTGTATGACAAAGTTTCAGTCAATGTCATTGTCGTTTGTAAGTCAAAGTAAGCTGTACGGGTCATTCACAGATCATATGAGAAGCACTTCTCACTAAAAAGATGCTTTATACACAAATACTGGTGTATAAATGTTTATTACTAACCTTTCTATGAACATGATTTAATCATAACTGCAAATCAATGACCGGGTGAAATAGCCTACTGTAATGTCTGCAATTATATAAAATGAATAAATAAATGCAACCGATATGAACTCATACAGACCCAATATGTTACCAGTTACAGAAAACTACACACAACATACATTTATTCCTTAGTTCAAAAACAACATGCAACATATTTCCCAGTCAGTGCGAACCTTTTATCTGTGTATTTTATCTTCACCAGCACATGTAGCCTCTTGTTGGAAAGTAATTCTCTCATTCTGAATTCATAATAGTCGAACAGGTGATGATAATAGTTAAACATGGCAGTTTTTTTATGGTTTAGGTTGCTGAAAGAATCATTTGCTTCTTTGTTTTTTCGGGTTTCTCCTTTGCTTTTTCTTGCTTCACTCTTGCGTTTGTCCGTTTCTGAAAGGATCGAATGTCAGAAGCACAAAAAAAAAAAAAAACACGCACATTGTTATCATGAGCTTAAAGTTTGTTATTTCAAATATAGACGTGCTGTGAGCACATGCGAGAAAGCAAAACCACTTGCGCTTTTGATGCCCTTGTAAACAACTTCCGGGCACAGGGTAGATTCCAATCACAACACATTTGGCCATCTGACCAGTCAGAGTAGAGCAGGCTTTTGGAAAGCTGGGCATAATTTTTTATTAAATAAACCTTTTCAGCCACTGTAAAAAATAGCTGATGCATTAGTGTATGTTATGGTAATTGGTTTCAATAAATTTAAGATGAAAAAAAAATTCTTGAGTGTATAACAACAAAAATGAACAAAATATACTTTAAGATAGCATAATATATGGACTTTGACTGGTATATGAACTGCAATATTTGTTGTTGCCAGATTGATTGTGACAAGCTTGTTGGTGCCGCATTATAAACTACTAACAGGCAATGGTGTAAAGTTACAAATACTCAAATGACTGTAATCGAGTAGTTTTTCTTTTTCTTTGTGCTGTATCTGTACTTTTTTTGCCACAGTTTTTCTTGAACCTGCAGCCACTACTTTATTTTTTCTTGACTACACGAATTGGCTCAGTAGAAATGCCTGTCATAGAAAGTAAATGGCATCATTCTGAACAATTTCAAGACATAAGCACTTTATAAATGCAGCAAACCATTTGGAAGCATTAAAAGTGTTCAAGATTTCCAAAATCTTAACACCCATTTACCCAGAGACTGTTTAGACTGCATGACACTGATGAAAAGATGAAGGATGTTTACTGTATAATGACAGAATCGCCAAATGGCCTTAAACAATAACTAAATGCACTACAGAATGTTCTGTTTACACACATGCACAAATTGCATATAAACGCATCAGCGTTTCACAGCGTAATACTCACTACTTTTAAAAGGGCTAATTTTTACTTACATTTTGAGTAATATTTACAACAAATATTTACTTATACTCAACTTGCACTACATTTTTAGGCAAAGGTTTGGTACTTTTTACATGAAGATGATTTTTCAGTACTTTTTTCGCCCCTGCTAACAGTGATGGATTGCTTGCTTGCTTGATAAATAAATAAATAAATAAATAAATAAAATAATTTGTGTGTGTGTGTGTGTATATATATATATATATATATATATATATATATATATATATATATATATATATATATATATATATATATATATATATATATATATATATATATATATATTATGTATGTATATGTATGTATGTATATTCCATTTATATTTATTTTATTCCAGTTGTTTTCACTGTAGTGGCTGAAGATTGGCTTTGGCAGAGCTCTTTCACAGGGCTTGTGCTCAGTTGTCTGGCATGTGTTAGTTCATTAAACATCTCCTTGAGGGCAGTCTGATGCTTATGTTTGACTCTTGTATGTTTCTGCAAAAGCAATAATGTTCGATGTCAAATGTACTCATTCTTCTTATCCTCTCATATTTTATTGTCTTCATACCGGGGCCAAATATCCTTTCATGTAATCCTTATTCACATGAAAATATAGTATACTGTAATGGCATTGTCTCCTACAGTAAGCTAAATCTAATTAGCATGTTGTAAATGTATATAAACTCTTGTTGTAGATATTTTGATTACTCATACATACCCAAGTTGAGACATGCCAGGTTTTTTTTCTGTTTGGCCAGTGTTTCTCATTTGTGTTGAAGTGTCATGAAAAACTCCCTGTTTGAGCGCAGGCCAGATCTCAGTGCTGTTTTGAATAGCATGTAATTGTAGGTGTGGAAAGCTGCAGAAGTTGTAGGAGTGGAGATAATGCAATGTTTGTGCTTCAGTCGGTTTCATTTTGTCTTGTTTAGTCATCAGACCTGCACTCTTCTACTCGCACGTGTAAATATATTGCAGAAATGCTTGCAGTTACCTAAAATTTCATTACTTTTCATATGTTTAAGAAGGCTAGTTAGAAATGTTTTATATCAGAGATGCCATGAAGGGCCCAAAACCAAATATCAAATTGCATAAAATTTGTCATTGGTAATTTCCTAATTTATATTTTATAATATTATTAATAAACAGAAAACATTACTTTAAATTATATCATCTAATGCAGTTTAACTTTAAATTTGAACTTAATGCAATAAAAAACAATCACACTTATATCACAGTGGAGTTCAATGTTGAATACACTAGTTAAGCAGAATCTGCATTTGCCTTGTGCGAACGTGGCTTCTGAACTCGGGTGCACACCCGTGAACGGTACCGGAGTACTCCTGAAAGAGGATGTCTGGGGTATGGTTCATGCAATCTCTGGTCCGGTTCACTTCTGGTATTAATGCAAGTGTACAAAATAGTGTAAGTGAACCGCCAACTGTACAACTTTATTTTTCATAATGTTCATTTGTGTGTGTAAGTCTGCATGTCACCTTCTTTGGTGACAAGCGGGACTGGCCCAGTGCAAACAGTGATAATATCTGCTGGTCTCCACCAAAAACTACTTCTGCAGACATCAAGTGTTGTTCTGAACGTTTTTAATATTTTTATGCAGCACATAGACGCAAGTGGTTCACTGTTTTGGTAACAAAACAAAACCAAAAGATTCAGTAAAAGCAGAATGACTGGTGTGGAGAGTGTATGCGTACGTCTCCATTTTGGTGCTTTTGAGGTTCAGAAGGAAAAAAGACTCTGTGAACACAAACCAGCTGAAAAGGTGGCAAGGGGGGACAATCGAACTTTGGTTTGGTCCAGGCAGTTGAACCAAGTGTAAAAAGCACCCTGAGATGGCAATCTTTAAACCATCTCCATCATTCTCCCTCTCTTTTTAGATGCAACGACAGGCCAAATCAAAGGTTACCATGGGCCATCTTTGACCCGTTGGCCCTATTTTAAGCATCTCTATTTTATATGAACATGTATTCATCAAGGATGCATTCAACTGCATAAAAGTAACTGTAAATTCATTTATAATGTTGCAAAGTTTTTTTTATTATTCTTTTTTTCTTTTGAACTTTCTCATCATCCAAGAAATCTTAAAAAAAAGAACAGAGCAGTGAAAGTGTTTTCAAAATTGATCATAAAATATAAACAATAGAAATTGTTCATTGAGCCGTGAATCTGCATGATTTGTGAAGAATCATGTGACATTAAAGACTGGAGTATCTGCTGCTGAAATTTAGGCTTGCTATTATAGAAAGAAATTACATTTTGAAATGTATTAAAATACAAAATGGTCATTATAAATTATTTTAGCGCTAAAAAGCATAGTTCTTTCTTGCATTAAAACTGTCCAGTTAAAATCCAAACATTTTAAACAAGGCAAAGATAAATATCCATCCATTTGCATTTTAAATTGTGCATCAAACATTTGCTAGCATTTATTAACATTAGAACTTTTTTTTTAAATCATACGATTTCCTAAATATAATCCCAACATCCATTAGCTTTCAAAAACATTTCATAACCCATTATTAAATCTATTTTTTTACTGATTTTCTATTTTATGATCTAACATGAACTTGTGCAACTCTGAAATACAGATAGATCATTTGACTGTCATTTTATGGTTACTTTTGTGGCTCTAAGCATTGTCCTCATGTTTCCACAAAGAGAACTGAGACTTTACCAGGAAGTATCATTCTTGCAATTACACTGCAGTATTTGCTATATTTTCCTACAGTCATCCTCTCTCCGTATGGTCTGAGCGGGACTCTGACGGGCCAGTCCTTCAAGCTCTCGGATCCACCAACCCAGAAGCTAATCGAGGAATGGAAGCAGTTTTATCCCATCGGCCCCAACACCAAAGAGGTCACAGACGACAAGATGGATGACCTCGACTGGGAGGACGATTCCTTAGCCGCCGTTGAAGTCGTTGTCGGTAAGACAGATATTCAGCTTTATGTATTGTGATTTCATGGTCGCCTCGAGTGATTTGGAGTGCGAGTAATAATTAATGTGATGCAGCTGGTGTGAGGATGGTGTACCCAGCCAGCCTGGTGCTGGTGGCCCAGTCAGACATCCCGCTGGTGGCTACAGTGAGCTCTTCCTCCTCCTCGGGCTCTTATGCTGGAGCTCCGCATAATCAGCTGGTCCATGGAGACACTGGCATCTCTTCAGTCACGCTGACTCCTCCCACTTCACCTGAAGAGGCACAAGCAGGTACCATTACTACTGTCTAAATTATTTCAAATGCTGTCATTCGTTAAGAATAATTAAAGTAGTGTATATGGGCTTGACTTCATTTGGGTTATATTTAATCCCTGCTTATATGATTTTACTACAGCATAGAGTTTCATACAGAGGAATTCTGAAAATTATACAAGTAATTTATATTTTATTATAGATGTTATGTAACTATTGTAAGTACTAAGGGTGTCACGATTTCGATTTTTAATCGAAATCGATCAAAATTTATGCTCAATTTCGATTATCGAATCACAAAATAAAATCGTCGATACTGCCACACCCCCATGTCACGTCAGCTTGGCTTGCCAAGCGGGAAAAAAACAGGCTTGTTGAAGTGCTTGTTAAACGGCAGACGCAGGAGACCCGTCGACAGAACTTAAACCCTCTCCTCTGTGTAAGCATTTTGTCGTGTTGTCGACAAAAAAAACCCCCACAGTTTTGCAAGCTCTGCTATTTACGTATTACGTATGGTTCGTCCGATAGACAACACCGGCATCGCGATCCTCCGCCCACCCCCGTTGCAAATCCACTCACGAAAAGTACACACTCAGGCCCTGTTTATACTGTCTTTGTTTTTAAATGGCATTTTAGAACGACAGTGATTTGACATCCACAGTGGCGTGTAGCATTTCTGAGCAGCCCTCCTTCCTCTCTACCTCTGAAAATGCACATCACGTGACCACAAAGACACAGACGCACTCACAGCCATGCGCTCGAGACAGCAGGTCCAGGCAGTCAGAGGACTGCTTCAATCTTTCACTTACTTGTACTTAGTCATTTTAGCGAACACCTCAGATACTGTTGGCTGGTTCCTGTCGGTTGAGCGTCTTTTATTTTACCGACGCCATTATAACGACACAGATCACTGCCTATTCACGAGTCCCGCAGAAAAAGTGATTGACAAGTGGTAATTATGTGTGTATCTTGCCTTTATTCATTTACTGTATGATTTGTTTATGGGTAAAACAAAGACCATACAGGTCAGGTAGTTTAAACGGTAGGCTACAAATAATTAATTGGTCATTAATTAATTAATTATTCATAATCGAAAATCGAATCGAATCGTGCCTTTAGAATTGAAAATGTAATCAAATCGAGGATTTGGAGGGTAGTGACACCCTTAGCACGTTCTAGACATGCACGCGCTCTTTCCAGCAATCTTTCTCCCGCATTCACACAGCGCATTAAGCGCTTTTGATTAAGACAACACTCTGTTTAAAAGTCTACAGCGATTTTTGATTAATTAGATTAAGGTCATAATCGTACCAAACAGAAATTGAATTCAAATGTGGAGTATGACAATTTTAGTTGCATTATTGAAATGCAGTACAGAAATGTGTACACCTTAATCAAACTATTAACATTGTGTAGGATTTTTGCTGTATTTTGAGACAGGATATTCCATACGAAGCTGGTTGACACTATTCTCTGCACCTACTGAGTCAGAGAAGGACCACAGACAACTGCATTGTGAAATGCTGAGGTTTTTGTTCCATTCAGCGTGCGATATCACATTTCATTAAAATAAATCTTCCTTTCAGCAGTTCATAGTTGCATACAATATCTCGTTTGTCACGGGAGGCATAAATGAAATGTTCCTCATTGAAAGTGAAAGTGCCAAAGTGCAGTTAAAGTTGTCAAATTAAAAATGAAACACCTGAAATTGCATAAATTGTGGAGAGTATGGTGACGCAGTAACAATAACCGAATTATGTGCTGTAACATGTAAAATATGTTGTATTTTATTATTTAAAATATATTGTATTGAAAAATAATTGTTTCTTTGGTGCACCGTGATGCAGACACGTACAATTCGGTAACGGTTCAGTAATAGATCCAAACAGGTTATTACATACGAATGTCATTTCGATATGTCGCAGTAGAATACAACGGCAATACAACGGCAAGGTGAGCGCAAGTAGTTAAAAAGCAGAAACTCGGTTTACTGCGTGTTTGCTGGACAGTCATTCAATCCCCTATTGTGCTGTTGTGAAGAAAATGAAAGTAACCTCCATTTCTCTCTCTCAATCAGTGTGGCCCATTTAACCTGCTGGCATGGTGTTTTGACTCCTCTCAGCTGTTATAGCAATACTTGTGGTTTCAGACACAAGCGTGTCTGCAAATCGAGTTTTCTTCACTGCGTCTATCATCGATCAGCTGTCATCACCACGTTTGTTTATCACTGTCACTTATTGATGAACAGCACCAGCGCATTAGAGCCAATCGCAGCCCTTTCTGTCAAGCGTGTGACCAATCATAGGCGTTTAACAGCTCGCTTGACAACCCCTAAAAAGCAAACGGGATAACATTTACGTTTGCTTAAAATAATAATTTAAAATAATAATTAATATTACATATATTAATACACAATATTGTTGTTATTATTATTCATTCATTTCATTTTTTTCTATTAATGTTTTAATAGATGAATTATGTTCTATGATAAATTATGTATAACAAGACCAGTACAATCAACAGCACTTGCTCATTCTAAGTTGCTGTCAAAACCATTAGTTATGTAATGTCTTGTATGTTTTTTTTTTCTTTCCCTTGTTGCAGTCTCTCAGCCTGCCCAGAAGTGGGTAAAGCTCTCAGCAATGTCAGGCGTCTTTAGTGTGGACAGCAGCAGCCATCACGGAGGAAAGATCCCCCGCCGGCTAGCCAGTCAAATGGTGGAGCGAGTCTGGCAGGAGTGCAATATTAACCGAGCACAGAACAAGTAAGAATGTAAAATCTACATCATGACTGATTAGCCAGAGCAAATAACCTGGCAGTGAGAAATGGATTGAGTAAGAACAAAGCAAGTTCAGGCATTCGCTTTGATTTGTTTTTGTGCAGGAGAAAGTTTTCGACTATGTCTAATGGAGTTTGCGAGGAAGAAACCGACAAAGCTTCTGTTTGGGACTTTGTGGAGTCGTCTCAAAGGTCACAGTGCAGCTGCTCAAGGTATGCTCACAGGCTTCACTTTTGCAACAAAAAAGTATTTTTATTTAATAGAGACATAATTTTCATTCTACCTTGGCTTCAATGATTATTTCATCAATAGAAACCTGCCTAAAACAGAAACTATATTTAGTTCATTTAGTATATTTAGTATGCTGTGTGTGTGTTTTTGTGCTAGTCCTTGTTGGCTGTTCAGGCCTCTCATTGATAAATCAATGGTATTGTAATGTTCAGTTGGTGGTAGGCCTGTCACAATATCTATATTTTAGTGTTTGATATATTGCATCAAAATATATTGCGATAAAATATATTTTTTTTGTCTTTTTAAGACCATTTTAGGCAACTCTTTTTATAATGCTAAAATGACAATATAAGATAATGCAAGTACAATCTTCAAAAGAACATGTAATATTTAATTCTTAAGAATATTTCATTTAATTATAATAATTTTACCAACTTAATTATTAAGTGTTGGAATCAGAATATGAAAGACTTATCATGAATAAATAATAATAAATGTTAACAAAAAAATGCAAGATAACAGATCTGGTAGCAGATATCACAGCCTCTATGTTCAGTTGTCAGACACCCACATAAAAATATACTAAAGTAATTTATGGTAAATACTATAGTGTGTTTTTTAACCATACCGACACCTCCAATATAGATAAGAGATAGAATTTCTAGAATTAGTTTTTATGTATAGGCGATATATATTGTATCATCAAAAAATGTTGAGGTCATTCCTTACCATGTTTTGTAGTCAATGCATGGATTATTGTGACAGACCTAGTAGGTGGTGGCAAATCCATGTCTTTAAATCATTAATTGAAATGATTTGTACAAAATATCTTATTTATATAAATATAAAGCAGCACTTTCTTTATGAATGGACTGTTGAATCTTTAGCCCACTTGAATAATTCAAAATCAGATTCATTCATGTTTGAAACTCTGCAATGTTCTCTTCCCACTCTCTTAGGAACATTTTATTTAGGCTAAACAGAAAAAACAGATGCTAAATATTACCTTATTGAACAGTTGTATAAAATCAGCATCCCATTTTCATTAAAGCTTACATGTTACAAAATGTCACTCATGATATATATAACGTCTTAAAATACTTTTTTAAAAGTATAATTCATTAAAAATTGTCTATTTCTAACTACATTTTAAGATGTTTTATCATTGCAGAGAAAAATGATGTACTCGATGTTTTTTTGCTCATTGCTTTGCAAAGTGATTGACATACATCATAGTGTCATTTTTCACGTAGTTAAAACTGCTCTTATGTTAGTATCAAAGTCAATAGTTAGTGCATTCACAGGCTTTCTAATAATTCTGTCAATTGGTTAATTTTTTCTTTTTAAAAACACATTTACATTAGAGCTGCATGGTGGCTACTTTGACTCATTCTCATACAAAGGTAGTCTTAACGCCAGGAGAAATTTATCGCTCTCTCTTGGAAGCACTTGCTGTTTCTCAATATGAGTCCTTAAGCGGTCTTGTATCCAAACGTCAATATCAACTGGTTCATTTCTTATCTCAAAAACTCAAGTACAGAGGATGCATGTTTAAATCTGTATGTGCTAACCTAACTGAAATTATTGGGCTTCAAGCACAAGCTGCTATGGCAAAAATGATGTCAACTGACACTGTATTTACAATCTACTGTAGAGTATTTACGAGGAGATCTCAGAACTGTATTCACTGAAGCAATAAAATGAATCCCATATATTGCTTCAGCGTTTTGTTGTTTGTGATGAGCAAGTGATGAGTAAGTCACTCATCAGAGCCCAACATAAATACCTTTGATTGGACACTGCATTCATAAGATCAATAAAAACATGTGCTTGACACTATTTATTTTTACATTTAATTTTATTATCATGACTGCACTTGTAATTTATTTGAATTATTCATTTCCTCCTCATTATTTTGGACTCTAGAGCAAAAGCTAACATAATGCAAATTAGTTTTAAACCCAAACATTAAAGACTCATTTTACACATTACATGAAAGTTAAAATCCCCAAAAAAGGATAACAGAGACACTCAAACTAAAACGTGTGAACGAATAAATGCTGGTTGATAACATTTCTATCTTTCATTTTTCATTCCAGGCTTAAAAACCAGAAACAGCGGGCATGTAGCACCCCAGGGCATCCTCCATCTGCTGGCCAGCCTCCTCAGCCCTCTACCAAACACAAGATGGCGGAGAAGCTGGAGAAGGGGGACAAGCAGCAGAAAAGGCCGCTGACGCCCTTCCACCACCGCAGCTCTCTGTGTGAAGAACAACCCAGCTTGGAGCAGGGAGAGAGCGTTCACCGACTGTGTCTGCAGGGTCATGAGGACAGCAGGTATCCCAGCCTCCACCACGCAGACGTCACCTCCAGCAAGACGCCAATGCTCCACAGCTCTGCGGATGAGATGGCAGGCTCCCCTCAGCCGCCACCGCTCAGCCCGCACCCCTGTGAACGTATGGAGGAACCAGCCGATGGCATGAAGAGTTCATCCTCACCCCTGCACCAACACTTTTACCCTCCTTCCTCTGAGCCCTGCCTGGAGCCCCAGAAACCCCCAGATGAATCCACATTAGACCCATTGCCCTTACCATGCCCACCTCCATACCCAGAGACACTAGAGGCCACCATATACGTGGGCTCAGCCATAAACCCCAATGAAGATACGACACATAACCCCTGGAAGTACTTTAGGGTGCCTGGTGGGAGGAATTCAGATTTCCACACACCTCATCTTCCTGTGGTTGCGCACTTTGAGGATGGGAACAGGACTGGAGGGCAGGATGGCATTGTGTCCATTACTGAGTAAGTTTATATACTAATAATAACATAAAATACAAGGTGGCCTTAGGGTGCACTCGCACTATGCTATCCGAACCGTGCCAAGGCTCATTTGCCGGTTCGTTTGAGAAATGTGAGTGCTCTTAATCGGGCTCAGGCGCTGTTCAGTTGGTCGGCCCTGGCCTGATTGGAAGAAGTGTGCCGAGCATGGTTCGGTTAGGCTTTTGTTACGCTTGTAGTGTGAGTGCAAATCGCTCCTGAGCTAGAAACTGTAAACACGACGTCACTTTTAAGGGGCCGTTTCACATGGGCTTATTAATCACTCTTAATTTTCAATGAACGCAAACTGTTGTAGTTTAGTAAAAATGCACACCCTTCACTGCACGACAACTGCACTTTCAGCAAACCTTTAATACATGCAGCACGAGGACTTTTATGATTATTTATGAGTGTCAAAAGTGGTGGATCTGTTCAGTAAAATAATTTGACTGCATCTCGCTGCATATCAAACGACTAAAAATAATACAAAACGATATAACTGAAGCAATGTCCACTGTGCTGAGCTAGAGCACTTCTCTCTGTTAAACTGAACAGCACATTGTCGATGACACAATCGAGCTCAGGCTTGGATGCAATGTGAATGCCGGCTGTCAGGGGAGAGGGTAAGGGCACAACAGCGCTTTGGTGTGTTTATTTAAGTCAACCGTGCCTATTGAGAGTATGGCCTTAACTACAGGGGTGATAGCGTTCCGGCACCACGCCGGATTTCCGGCGTACGTGGGTGCGGGGGAAAAAAAATCAGGTTCACGGATATTGATCTGTCATTTCTCTAGATTCACAGAATTCACTCACTGCTGAAAGCGCCAGATTGGTTTTTATTAAGTGCCATTTTATGTGCTCGTGAATCATCTTTTGAGTGTAGACGCCATGTAAATAAAAGATTAATTGTGTAATTTAGAGAGCTTTATAAATCATAACGGATCTTTGTGAGATCTCTATGAACTAAGATTAGTGACGCTTTTTAGTGATAATAAGAGGAGCGTGCTTTGCACTTTCCAGGCTATAATCCATTCAGAATTTGTATGAAACTTTCGTTTTCGGCACATATACGCTGATATGTTTTGGGAATGACAGCTGCATATTTACGCTGGGTTTATTCTCGAAATAACGGTGAAGCAATAGACGGGACAAAAATATATTTCCCCCTTCTCCTTAAACAACTTAGTGTTTCAGCTATGAAATAGTTCAGTTTTGTATGTAGCCTAATGGCAAAGTGTTTATATTTAGCTTCGTTTTTTATTCAGCTTATTTAGAAAAACGTTTGGAGCATTTTTTATTCGTTAAAAATAAGTTTTTTTGTAACGAACAGCGCCCAGCGGAAGACCATCATTGTCTGTTTGATCAGTTTGCCTTCTCAGATAATCACGACTTGCCTAAAATAAAAGATATAAAACAATTCAAGTATAAAACAATGGTAGCTTAAACGTTAAACAATGTGTGCTATTAGGCGCATAGTTTGCTTATAAAAAGCTTGCAGGACATCGAGGCGCCAGAGCAATCACTTGCATTTTTTCAGTGGGAGCAATTTAAAGTTATCCGTCATTTTTGCTCACAAAGTACGAGTAATACATCAAAAAACGTTACAGCGTTTTTATAAAATAAAGAAAACCAAAATTATGCGCTTTCTGTCGTCTGGTTTTTGAGGAGCGCTTAACAAAATGAAGCAAAATGTATATGCCTCACAGACATAATAAATATATTTATAGAAAGCTTTAAATTATTACTTAACGAAATAAAACAAATCGAAAACAAAAAAAAACTTCTTCATGTAATCCGTAAAGATGAATTTCTAAAGGCGAGTCCAAGAGGAGATTGCCAGTCAGGATCTTTGCGACACTGACTCAGAATAAGTTTATTAATAATTAATTAAGATATGTCCTTACTCTTTCCTCGACACATTCATTGTTATTTGTTTTTGCCGGTGCTTGGGGCGAGTTTTAGCTTATTGTGTGCGCTTGAACGCGGATTAGTAGCAGTTTTAACATGGAGTGACACGACATCTGACGTACAAATGACACTGGCACATGCCACTGAGTGTAGTGACACTTCCGGTGGCACGTCCGGTTTTCCACTGTCATGTGTCACTCGCTAGTGGCATGTGTAGTGACCTGTGTCACTCAGAGTGTCGCGCTGCATGTCACTGCAGTGACATCGACACCCGGCGAAGCTTATGACATTAATTAACACGAGCGAAACCATATTTAATCATTACGCGACTTTTAACCTAATTTATCGCGTCGCAAGTTAGTTTATTTGCTGAGCTACTCCACGATGTTTTAATTTAAACGCATTTATTTTATGTATTCGTAGTCATACTTCCGTACGTAATATAGTCATTTGACAGTACATGTCAGTCAAATTTATTGTGGCATGCTTATGTATGGGAGGGGTTACACTTATCTGTTGTACTGTATATTATTGCATCCTGGCAGTTCCTTTGTTCCCTACAATATGGACTTCTCTATGTTTTTAATTCATTCATTTATTTTATTATTTAACTTATTTTCATTTTAAGGTATTTTAAATAATATCCTTTAAAAAGTTATAATAAAATGCATGTTGAAAACTCATAACATATATGCATGTAAGAGAACAGGTGTCATTTGCCTAATGATTTTTAAATATTAAAGCGAAGAGACTTATAAGATTAATGTGCTTATAACGTGCTTATACTGACACCTACTGGCACATGTCACAAGATCACTGACACTGACATGTGTCACTGACATTACTGGCATGTGTCTAAAAAGAGCCACTTGACAATAATGATGATCAGGGTTACACATAGGCTGTTAATATATTTGGGCCCAGGGGCCCACAAGTTATGTGTTAAAAGTGCGTTGCATACATAGTACCCCCACCCCTACTCACCTTAGGGGCAAGGAAAAAAAGTTCAGGCTCAGGAATTTTTTCCACTATCAGCCCTGTAACTACTATGTACTTCATAAGCCGCATTTCCACTGTTATGCCTAAAGCAAGCGGGCCAGGGCCAGTTGCGTTTCCACAGTCACTCCTGGGTTCTGATCGCAAAAACATGGCTTCCTCGAGGCCAGCAGCCAGCCATTTTCGGCCCACTGAACACCTTGGGCAAAGCGAGCCAGCTGGGGCTTCAGGGTGGAGTGAAAGCAGAGGCAGAGTTTGCCGGAGTAGAGTCTGGTGTGCCACCATTACACTATTTTTCTGATCCCGCTCAAGAACATGTGGCAAAAATGAAATGTATATAAACATAAATAAAAAATATATATATAGCTGGTCAGATTTAGATATTCCATAACACACTTTATTGGCTAGGTTTAAGATCGCTCTTATGGTTCCTTATTTAAAATAATATTTTAAGTAGTTTTCATTTAATAAGTGATATTTCTTTGCTTTGTCCTCTTTGATGTTTCAATAACACACAATAATCTTTACACCTCATTAAAGACAAAGCAGCCAGTAACTTCCAGTTTGTGCATGAAACGTGCATGTTTATATGCATGTATGTGTGTGGGAGACGGGGCGAAATAGCGCTCACTTCACAGCTCTGTCGATGCCGCGAGCAGCTGGATTTTTTCTTTGTTCGTTTGGAAATAATACAAAATATGAATACAGAAAGACATAAAATTTGACAAATTCACATATTCAGTGTCACATGTCTAGATAAAATAGCCTAATTGAAATCATTTAAATAATGACAAATGTGCTTTGGTTTTTTCCATTTTAATCGCTTCGTGATGATGTGATGATGTGCTTTATCTACCTGATTCTGATTTGATTTTCTTCTTCCCACTCAACTGGGCGGGTTGTGTGACGTTTGATTCGGTGGGTGTTCTGGGGTGGAGTTTGCGTGCTGCGCTGTCAGCTATTGGCCTGAGAGAGGAAACGTGACATGATTTCTGCCTCACTGTTTAAGCTCCTGGGCTAATGGCCTTGCCCGGCCCGATTTAAAAACCATGGCTCTCACCGGCCTGACAGTGGAAATGCGGCTATAGTTTACTATGTGTTCATAATGCATTGCAGAACACTTCTGGTGGAATGTGGGTATGGGTTAGGGACAGGTTTGGTGATATGGGTAGGTCTAAGGGTGGTGTAAGGAATGGACAACAGTGTATTTACAAATGTAATTACAGAAATTAATTACAGATGCATTTACATGCAGGTATTTAATCAATCATAAGTACAATGTTAAAATGTGTATTCACGCATTAAGTATTTTGTAGCTTAATTTTAGCGTAATTACAATGTAGTCAAGGCCTCCTAATGTAAAGTGGGACCAGAACACTTTTTTTGTGTAATAGATTTAAAAATAAATTAAGTCCTTTTCTTTGGCTTAATAGAGCTGAACTCCAACAATTTTTATTTGGCATGATTGGTACTGAATTTCAAGTACATCGGTTGAAAGCCTTTTCAAAACATGGCCTCGCCTGTGTGAAAAAGTTATTTGTTTTATACTCTGCTGAGAATAGGTCACCTTTTAACATCTTAATTATGGATTGTTAATGCAAAAGGCAAGTTGCGCTTCCACAAAGAACATTTCTTTGGCCCTTTTGCAAGTTGTTTTGCTTCAGTGGTTGTCAATAACATGAGGCAGCTTTGCTGAAAAATAATTGGTCCAAGCATGTTTTTGACTAGTTAATGGCAGAAGCAGAGAGACTGAGCTGGACCCTGTTGATTGCCTGATATTCTAGTGCACTGTCTGGGATCTAATGATGTTTTGCATGAACGAATAGTCAATATTCACTTAATAATAATAATAACAATAAGAGTAAGTATTATTATTATTATAGTTTTTTATTATAACAATAATTATTATTTGTGATAGTTCAAAGTAACTGAGATAATACAATAGCAGAATTTATTTTGAAATGCTAAATCTTGTTACATTGTAAATGTTGTTGCTGTCACTTCTGATTAGTCTATGCATCCTTGTTTAATTGTAAAAATAGTAACCTCTTTTCAGCTATTTTATATTTTATTTCATTCAGCGTAGAATGTAAAACACCAGTAACACTTTACAATAGGGATTACTATAGTGAACTAATAATGTTAACATTTACAAATGGATTATTAACATTGCTTGTTAACATTAATTAATTAATGCCCCGTGAGTTAACAAAAACTTCTATTGAACAACTATATTTTCATTAACTAATGTTAACAAACATATAAACAATTTAATAAATGTATTTTTCATTGTTTTTCATGTTAATAACTACATTAACTATGTCTCCCTTATTTTAAAGTGTGACCCAAATACATTTCGGTAATGTGCCATAAAAACCTGGCTCTTGTGCCTCTTAAATTCCATCAAAATTCAAATGTCCATTTTGAATGACATATGCATTACATAAGTCACTTTGGCAGCATATTTCAGCTGATTAAAATAATTTAGAAAATACTTATTTGCTTAATCTACCATATCCTACGGAATATATCAAATTCAGTTATTAAAGTGCAGTTCTTAATAACAAGAACAGATTAAATAAAAGACACTTGCATTCTCAGTTGCTCTCACATAACAGTTTAAACCATTAAGTTTACCACTTTTAAATATAATGCCATCTTATGCAATCTATTTTGTTTATACACTTAAAAAGCTGATAACAACCTGATCGTTCAGACTCTGTTTCTCCCAATGACTAGTTGTGTAATATAGTGTGGGGGTGTTGTTTTTCTTCCTTTTTTTTAGGATGATGTCCTCTTCCAAAAGGCCTCTGAAGGTGTCTGAAGAGCTGGTGAAGATGTACGAGCATAAGAAAAACCAGTATCTATCATCGGCTGTGTGTGATGAAGATCCAGAGCAAGAATCTGATCCTTACGCTTTTGAGGAAGGAGATGAGGAGTTTAATTTCTCAGATAAAGATAAAAAGTCTGGATCAGAGAGAGAGGCTGGGAAAAAAGCTAAGGTCAGACAGTGATTCTTTTAGAAGAATGTTGAGTCAAATGAACGTTTTTATTGATTACAATATTTCTTTGCTTGACTTTTAGAGGGAAGATGGCAGTTCATCTTCTGATGGTGAGTGGAATTCCCTGGCATGTTATTTCTAAAATAAAATGTTTTAGTGTTTCTGAGGTTCATCTTGAACATTTGTTGTTTGCGCAGATGCCCAGGGTTCAGGTGGTAGTAAACCACTTCCTACAACCAGCTTGATCCATGAGACCGATCTGGTCGTGTCCATTAATGACCTGGACAACCTTTTTAACTCTGACGAGGATGACCTTACGGTTAGTAGCCACTACTTACATGCACACTGTGACGTTTGTTGTAAAAAGTGAAAAAAGTTTAAAGACTTTTTCAAAGTCACATGAATTGTTCAGGTGTGAGCTTTTCCACAGACTTCAACAGAATGTAAAAATCTTAATGATTTTGTGGGTCTCCTCTTTCAAATCTGATCTTTAATTTGTTTTCTCTATTGGATTCAAATCAGGTGATTGGCTAGGCCATTCTGCAGCTTATTTTTCTTTCTTTGATAGCATTTGAGAGTTTCCTTCGCTTTGTTTTGGATCGTTGTCTTGCTGAAATGTCCACCCTAGTTTCATCTTCATCCTCCTGATAATGTAGATGTTGCAATGAAGCAGCTAATATTAATTTACACTGACAGAGTTATTACACATAACTTAATTTGTAAACTAATTGATATTGTTTTCTTTGCATATATGAATTTCTTTAGTTGTTACCAACATCCAGGGAAAATTTCAAGTCAACGACACCTTTAGAAATAAGTTTTCTGACAACAATGCTGATGTGTTCAATACTTATTTTTCCTGCTGTATATAAAATCCATTGCAGCTTTATTCTGTCCCTTTTTGCTTTGAATTGTAGTTAGTGAAGCCCTGTGATTAATCAATCTTTTGGATTTTGTGATATGTGTATGTACACCAAACTAGAGAGTGCTCGGTAGTATGTTTCCGCGCTTTGGATCTCGTGCCTCATTAGGAAAGCTCTTAGGTGGTCATAAAGTTCTTTATTTGCTGAACTAAGGGAACAGTAGAGCAATTAAAGTGAGCTTGTCTTTGTGTTACTCTCAGCAACCTGGATCCAGGAGAGCTGCCGGTGGAGCCGAGGAGAAATTTGGTGGGAAGGAACCAAAACCTGCAGCGCCAGACCCCCTGCCTTGTGCGTGTCACACATGTTCACCCTTGCTGACCCATGCTACATGTGTAACTAATGTTGCTGAAGAGAATGCGCCAATAAAAATTCATATAGTCCATAGAGATTGACAGAATTCTTGTGTTGATTCTTTTAAAGCTGTGTAGGAATGTGTTGGTAATTGGCTAATATTATAGCAGGTTCTTTTTTATGTTGCTAACTTGCAATCAAAAATTATATTCAAGCTTTTTTGCTTGAGTTTTACAATTTGTTTTGCCATCTCAGTTAAAGTTTTTTACTGATGATGTTGTTATACTTAAATAGCTTGTAATACTTATAGTCATTGTACAAAAAAGTAAAAAAATATTTAATTCAAATAGTTAAATAATTAATGAGTATCAGATAAGTTAAATAGATACAAACTGAGAATTTAGAGAAATTGCCAACTTGTTTAAATGTAATAATTTAATAATAAGTTAAAAAAAATCTCAAATAAATATAACGATAAAGATAATAAAACAAAGTTAATCTAAAACATTAGAAACTTGAAAATTTCAATTGCTCTTATACAAAATGAGTAATAGTATCGTTTTATTATAGTATATATTGGCCATTTGCACAGGCATTATCCAAAATGTTAATATCCATACATACCTAGAAATATCTCCTGCTTATTTCATAGCTGCTGTAAAGCTAGTTTGTTCTAGAGCTACTTATTCTCTCCAACGCAGCCCGTTATAGTGCTGCGCAAGTCATCACAGTTCGAGACCCTTAATGGCCAGCATCTGTTACCTATTTTCTATTTTTAGTGCCAAAAAGTCAGTTCCTTCATTGTGTGTGTTTATTGATCTAGGCTGTGCAGACCTGCACCAGATGTTCCCAACCCCTCCGTCACTGGATCAGGGTTACTCTCCTATAAACATGGGCAACACAGAGTCAGCAGCTGGCCTTTCTCTTCTGGATGGGGCCATGAGCGGGAACTTCAAGATGGAGGTGGAGGAGGGTTTCTGCAGCCCTAAACCCTCCGAGATTAAGGTTTTTTGTTTTTTAATTGCTGCGACAGATTTTCAAAAAGAAACTTCTTGTGATGCGAGACACTGATCATTTGTCGTTTTTTTTTCCAGGATTTCTCCTACGTGTTTAAGCCAGAGTCCTGCCAAGTGCTCATCGGCTGCTCTCTTTACGCCCCTCTGAAGACGCTGCCCAGTCAGTGTCTGCTTCCTGTCAAGCTTCCAGAAGAATGTGTGTACCGGCCCAGCTGGACAGTTGGCAAACTGGAGATGCTGCAGCCGATGGCAGCCATGACCTTTCTCAACAAGGACAGGTAAAAAATAGCCAAGAAATATGTGATTTTTTTTACTTTCTACCAATCAGATTTTAATTGTTTCTCTGCCTAATTTTACATTAAACATTAACGCCTGTATTTAAATAAACAAAAATCTAGATTTTTATAAAATAGATAGAAAAAAATCTACAATATTTTATTTTTTATTATTAAATTATTATTGTAATAGTAAATGTATTAAAATAAAATATTTTTTTTTATATGAAATAATTTAATCTTTTTCATCTTGGCCATTTGAAAAATTCCTCAGCATTTAGCCCTTTATGAGCGTAAAAAAAAAAGGTCTTTAATTTTTAATGGTCTTAAAAATGTCTTAAGGTCTTTAATTTAAATAAATTGGTGTAACGTGCAGAAACCCTGCATCTGTTTTGGAATTTTCTCTGCATTTGGAAGCATCCATATTGTGTAAATAAACTGCTGAAAATGTTTGCTTCTCAATCACACCAGTCATGATCAAATTTTTTGACCAATGTCATCTGTGTATTTGTTTTTCCCATCATGTTGTGATGAAATTGGCTACCCAGTTAGATTTAAGCATTTAGATCAGGGGTAACCAATCCTGATCCTGGAGGGCCGGTGTCCCTGCAGGGTTTAGTTCCAACTTGCCTCAACACACCTGCCTGGATGTTTTAATTATGTCAAGTAAGAGCTTGATTAGCTTGTTCAGGTGTGTTTGATTAGGGTTGGAGGTAAAATCTGCAGGGCACCGGCCCTCCAGGAACAAGTTTGGTGACCCCTGATTTAGATCATGTACCCGAAACAGCCGCAGTTGCAAATAAGATGGGTACTGGTGGCGCTGTAGCACAAAAAACGGTTTTGAAAATCAGTTTAGAACCCAAAGATTTCTGGAAAAGAATGGATGTCAAATTGTTTGTCTTGAGTGTCTAAGATCAAAGTTTTTGGATAAAACTTGCCGCAGTGACTTCAAAAACAACAAATAGGAAGTTGCATGAGAATTGCAGAGAAAATGGGACTGTGTTAGGTTTTGTGAAAGTTTTTTTATTTTATTTTATTTTTTTTTAATAAAGCATGATAGATTGACTTTGAGGGGTATTGCACGAATGTGGAACCATGAAAGCCAGGATAACAGAAAAAGGGTCCTCCTGGCTTAGCCTGTTGCATGTTTGCTGATCCAGGATGAGTCGCTATGTCAAGCTGGATGTAGATAGCCACGATGAGTGCACATTCACAACATTACAAGACCACAGGATCGATCACTGAGTCAATGATGCAAATACAGATAAAACCTATTAAATTCAATGAAACATACTACTTTTCAATTCTAATAATTGGAAAATATATGTAAAAAGCCCATTCATTTCTTGTACCATTGATCACAAAACATATAAATCACTAGGATTAATCTTAGCCTGGTTGTTAGCCTGCTTTGAAGAATGAGTAAAGAATAAATCTCTGTAGTAACTTCATTTAGCTTAATAAGCCTGCTTTCATACCACTGAGTCAAGGATAAATTCAGTCAGGATAGCCTTAAAATCTAAGCTAAATCTTGTGTCTTACTAATGGGCAATACCCCTCTGGAGTAGAACCTTCATTTGTTGTTGTATGTTTTGCAATAGACGAGATTAATCCAAATGGAAAAATGACAAGATGCATTTATAAGGAGAGAAAAAAAAAAGATCAACATGAATATAGTATTGTGCAGCTTGTCTTGAATTTTTCCTAAACAATCAATTGTCCAGCAAATAAAATGGTGTAAGACACTTTCCGATGTGGAGATTTATCAAGATTGCTGTAGACGTAGTCAATATTTCCTTGTTTGTTCATCTGTATCAAATTCAACGTTTGATTAAACATTGAGTAATCGTAGCTTTCATTAGCTCATTGGCTTGAATGGAAGGCTTTTAAACAGATTGATTTATTTAGGAGGGGGTATCTTATGCGTGTAGCAGGTGGCGGTTGAAGTAAATGGGTCAGGTTTTTAACAAGCACAGAACACACTCTTCTCTACTCTTTGTGGTCCAGGCAGCTGCCAGCCCAAAATAGCCATTCAATATTAATGATAGTGCAGCCTTAATTGAGGCATGTGTCCACAGCGATGATGCCAAACGCACTCAACTTTTAAGAATGTCTACCTGCATCTGTTTCACTGCTGGTATGTATGTCTGCCACATCCGAGCGCTTCTCTCCAAAACGACTTCATTTTGGGAGCTGTTTTGCATTTAACGTACCAGCTGTTCCAATAGTGATTTTAGTATGTTTATGAATTCCTGCCGAGAAACAACAGGTGTAGTTAAACTTAAACTGTAAAGGAAGGAAGGAGGGAGATGTTGAGGACTCTATAATTGTATGCAGTTTTTGTGAATTGATCCAGATGCAGATAAGTAGTACGCAGAGCTTAAAAAATGTCACAGTTTAGCACCAAATTATGTTTTTACACTGCGAGAAACCTATCTACGAATTTTAAATGTTCGTTTAGTCAAAGTAAGTGCACATTATTTATTCTATGTCATGAAATCTACATTTACCTGCCTTTTGTGTTTTAATTTGCAAGTCAGAGCAGATATACGTAATTTTTTTCTTGTTTGTTTGTTTGTTTTTGAGAAGTTAACCCATTAAAAAAACACTCTAAGAATATTTTTTTTCATGAATTTATTTGGTTAAAATGCGTTCCTCACACCATACCACAGTAAATTGTCACAAAATTACCATGTGACCCTGAAGACTGGGGTAAAAAAAGCAGAAATATTGGTTTTGTTCATTTATTAATTTGACTTTGGCTTAGTCTCTATTTCAGAGGTCGCGACAGCAGAATGAACTACCAACTATTTTAGCATATGTTTTATGCAGCGGATGCCCTTTCTGCTGCAACACAATTCTGGGAAACACCCATGCACTCTCACATTCATACACATACACCAAGGTCAATTTAGTTTACTCTGTTCACCTTTAGCACGTGTTTGGACTGTGGGGGAAATCACGGAGCACACGGAGGAAACCCATGCTAATATGGGGAGATCATCCAAACAGTTCTAACCACTGAGCTAGCATGCTGCATGTTATTGCATTTCTAAATGATATTTTAAGGTGTATTATATTAAAATTTTTACCATTTAAAACGGAGGTCGGGAACCTTTTTTTCTAAGTGTGTGTCTGTGTATATATAAATTTAAATATAGCATCACATGTCGAAGAAGTAGATGACTTTATTTAAATTTTGGGAAATAACTTTTTTTTTTTTCTGAAAAGCAGCACAATTTACTAACATTTTATTATTATAAAAAAAGTTACTTAAAATAAGTCAAATTAAAGTAGTCTATGCAGCAACGTTTTAAGTGTGGCTAGTTATAAAGAACAGACATCCTTTTTTACTGTTTATTAAAAAATAAAGAGCAAACAACTTATGTATCTATGGTAATTACACCCACGCTTAGTTAACACAGAATTGCAAGTTATTTGCCCTTTATTGATGTTGTGATTTAAGTTTGTCCACAGCAACATACACGTGCACTGGTCGAAACATGTTTTTATTGTACACCGAGTTTGTATTTATTTTGCTGTAAAAGTTACAATAAAAATGGAACTGTAATTGTATTTTCACAAGGAAACTGATTTCAAGTGCAGGTATTTTTTTTTAAAACTGTCAAATATTACTAAACGGAGAGCCATGATTTTTTTTTCAAAAAGCCACAGGTTCTCTACCTCTGATTTAAAATGTTAATTTGACACCAAAATTGCACACCTTTTGTGTTAAATTCATGGTTTCATTTTGCATTAAACGTGTATTAAAATCATTGTTTAATATTTGTATATACCTGCTTAACTGGTTTCTATTGGCCAGACAGTAGACAGTTGTTGTGGCTTTTAAAGTAGGACTAGCCCTAAAACTACTGTAATACTTCAGGAATGGTTTTGGAATTGGATCAGGTGTTGCTGAATTGAATCGACTCCATCTGTTTAACAAGCTGAAGTGGCCAAACACTTTATTTCCCTTTTTTGAACAATGTAGCTGTTGTTTTCATCATTTAATAGTTTCATTTGCCACATAAATTACTTGAAATATATTTGCCATTTATTTAAAAATTAAACTACTTGGTGTAATATTTTAGCCACCGGACATGACACTTTCTCTTTTTCCCCCACAGTAACATCCCTAGTGTGGGAAGTGCAGTGGAGCAGGAGCAGAGCTGCACTCCTCAAACACACAACACCTTCATGTCCAACAGTGCCCCGCCCAGCAACAGCGGAGCCGGCATCCTGCCCTCACCTGCCACTCCTCGAATCTCCGCCCCAACACCACGAACACCCCGCACTCCACGTACCCCCAGAGGCCCTGCCAGCGTCCAGGGCTCACTAAAATATGAAAACTCCGACCTCAATTCTCCCGCCTCAACACCTTCCACGTGTAGACCTTTAAGTTCTGTGGAGCCTGCCACCGTGCCCTCCATCCCCGAAGCTCACAGCCTGTACGTCACCCTCATCCTTTCCGAATCGGTCATGAACCTGTTCAAAGACTGCAACTTCGACAGCTGCTGCATCTGCGTCTGCAATATGAACATCACAGGGGCAGATGTTGGCGTCTACATCAGCGATCCTAACATGGACTCTCAGTACTCCAGCATGGACCCCTGCTCTTGTGGTTTTAGTGCCGTCATGAATAGAAGGTATGGCAACGGGGCTGGCCTCTTCCTGGAGGATGAGCTGGACATCATGGGACGTGGTTCGGATGCCGCAAGAGAGATTGAGAAGCACTTTGAAGCTGTACGAGCAGCCTCGCTCAAGAGGGGAACAGTCCTAAAAGAACAGGTCCCGGATGATCTCATGCTATTGTTGCAGGACCTGTGCACTAACCCATTCTCCCCCATCATCAGGCCAGATCTTCTCGGCACTGTTATCAAGTCCCCCATTAGGCTGGAGGAGAGGGACTATTACAGCGACTGCTACATGGCTCTTGAGCATGGCAGACAGTTCATGGACAACATGTCTGGAGGAAAAGTTGATGAGACGCTGGTTAAGAGCTCCTCTTTACATCACTGGGCCAAACGAAATGGTGAGGATCTACTCTTAAATATTTTTGCAATTTTAACAATTCTTCTTCAGTTTGATTGGAGCTGTAGTTCTGTCTGAAAAGTATTTTAAGGATTATCAGTTAGTGTTTAATAAGTTAATGTAAATTATGCTGTGAATTTAATTTGCTTGACAAAAAAAGATGTTTACCTTTCATTTTTATCATGTAAACTGAAGTGTTCTCTAAGTCATGAAATGAATAGTATTCAATATCTGTTCGGCCCTTAGGCTAGATTATTAATACATTTATGCCTGAGCTATTTGCATTTTGTTGTAGTAATGCTGAGAAATTTATTCTAAGTCTATGTTCGTGTATTAAAGGACACCTAGAGCCTTTTTGCTAGGTAGCACTGGCGTTCCGAACTTTAAAAATGTAGGAGCACCAGCCAAAACTTAGTCGCACCCACCAATTATGAGCACTGTTAAACTAACAGATTTATTGCATTTGATATCAACACTAACCAAAATGAACAAAAAAACAAAAAATAAATGCATGGCATGCACCCACTGACCTGCACCGCTTGATATGAATGATTCTTAGTTGATAAAAAATGTGATGTGTTCTCATGGGTGGTGTCTGATATCGCACAGATACTATTGACATATAACTTATTGTTTGCTTTTGCATCTTAATAGCAATACAGGTCATTTCTTGCTGCAATATTAGTGTAATCTTAGTGAATGCAAGCCCTTGTGCGATGGTGTACGTAGTGTTAAATTTTACATATAGCTGCCACTTGCATGGCTGACAGGTTTCTGTCAATTAAACGAAGGATTAAACAGAACTACCCTAAATTGTGTAGATGTGGCAAACGCTGTTACCCTCAAACTCTGTCACACCGGCTTTGTGGTGAATGCTTTAGTCATTTTCATAGGGGACTTTAACCCAATAAAAGTCTTTTATTTACTTTGCGAAAAGTGTAAATGGTGGATTAACATTCACCACATGATGATCACTAATAAGATGTGCCATTATTTGTGTGGTTGGGTCACTCGTCAAGATTATTTTATACACTCACACAAATGCTCTATATATATTTAAATATTGCATAGATAAAATTTCAGGTGCATATGCAACCAATGCAGTCGCAATTTTGAGCCCTGTCACCTACTCTGCAAAAATCACTTTTATAAGGCTTTTTAAATGGTTAGCCAGCCTCTAATGGTAAGAATGTGGTTTTTATAATCTGATGTCATTAAAGCAGTCTGCAGAAACACTTTGATTGACATTCTCCTTTTGTACTTGTAGTCAGAGGTGGAAAGTCCCGCCCGTTAGTGACGATCTCTTTCTCATTAGCATACATAGCCCTGAGTGAGAAGCAGGCATCTGCCATTAGGGTTTTCCATGCTGTACCATGTCATGTCAGCGACTAAGAGGCATTATAAATATCGAGTTTTAGGATGCACAAATGAACACTGGAGTCTAAATAGACTAAAGCCTTCTGAGACCCTACTTCTGACGTTTTAACAGCACAATCTAGGGATGCTCATTTCGGTTAATTTTGCTAACCGACAACCGCCGCTCATTAATCGGTTATTAACGGTTAACTGGTCAGATTACTATTAATTTTATATTAAACAAATTGACGTGTCTATTTTGTGTCTGACACATTAAATATTGCATAAAATACTGATTTATTTATATTAATAATAGAACAATACAACAGAGCATTTTCACGCACCTGCAGTGTTTAGCACAGAAGAACAGAATAAACGAAATAAAATGAATAAAATAAATAGGACTGCCCTAAATTATTTTCCACTTAAATAATTAATTTATATTACAAATCGAAAACACTGACTGATTATTTTTAATAACCGGCATAGGCTGTTTTTTTCCAATCATATGTTTTTTCTTCCGTCAAATAAAATAGCAGACTTCAAATCGCTTGCTCCACGGAAAATATGCATTTATTCAATGCCCCACTTGTATTATTATAATCACAAAACCTTTTACATTTTTAATAGAAATCATTATATAAGAATATATAAGATTATGTCTTGCTATGGTTTCCTTTCTCTCCATCGCGGCTCAAGTGCGCGCGCTGCGTGATAAAAAGACAACAACAACGCGCGCATATGTAGACTTTTTGTAAACATAAGATATTGCATTAATGTGCATACATGCTTTATAAGCTGTAAAATAAAAGGTAAAGCCTATTTGTTGCGTTTATGATGCAGATCCAGGTCAACATCAGCGCTTTTTTTGGCATCAACACGTCTGTTTCAAGCAATATTCTTCTTTCATTTTGCTTCTTTGGCAAATGTGTCTGTAGGCACGGGTTATACGTTATCGTCCCGCAAAGTTAAGTATGTCTTGCAGTTGAACAAGTGGCCGACCACAGCTAACGTGCTTTTTTCATTCCAAAAACGCGAGGCGCACCTCACTGCCTTTATGTTGACAAGGAAAAAAGAAGAGAAGAAAGCGCGGTCCTCTTATGAAACGACTGAATCAGCTGGGTATCGATTGTGCAAAAGTGTTGCTGTATATGTTGATAAAATTGTAATATTTATTAATATTATGATATTCAAGATTTGTACATTCATACAGCTCTGGATAACTTTAAACAGCGATTAGACCTTCAGAGCGGCAATAATGCGTCCTGAAGTAAAGCGAAACGGCTATAAACTCCAGCAAGATAGAGTGATTATATGCAGAGTCATACTTTATCTGTAAATAAAGTATAACTATAGAAACTGTGTTCATCTTAACTGAAAGCTTCTGCGTGTTTGCTGGCCTCACGCATCGCGCACCTGTCAGTCAGTCAGTCAGCACGTAACCCCAAAGGACTAAACAATAGCGCACAGCACTATACGGTTCAAGAAAAGTTTTGCGTTGATATAATCCACTTACCTTTTAATACGTTTTGAATCGATTATAATCTGCTATTAAAAACAACAACAACAATAACTGAATGTTTTGAATGGGTAATGTAGCCGTGGCGGGATGCAGTTTGGTCCCCGCCATGGAAGAATGAATGTAGTGGAAACCAAGCTTTTTAAAAGTTCTCTGTAGTTGTCTTGACAACACAAACTGCTGCTCTGGGATGAGCCGCGTGCAAAAGATGCCCCTCTTAACACAAAGGCGCATTCAATCGGCCCCTTATGCAGCCAAACTAAAAATATATAAAATAATAATTTTAATTGTTAAACTGATTGCATTAATCGGTCACAAACGCACCCTTTCGGTTAACGGTTAATCGATTATTTTGAGCATCCCTAGCACAATCTAATTTGAATTTGAAGCTACAGTCACTATGATTGCACAATTTTTATTTTAATGCCTAAAACTGGCTGTTATAAAGAAATGCCTAAGTATTTTGAGCTAAAATGTCTCATAATCAAAGGACATCAGAGACTTATTTTTAATCTTGTAAAAAGGGGCACAATGGTTCCCCTTTAACAAACAGAATGACTTTTTATTTCTTTTTGGGCTATCTTTGGTCTTTATTTAAATTATTCTATGAAACTGAAGTAATGACTGTACTTCTTTTTTGCATTGTGATCAGAAATTAATTTATCTGTCCCAATTGTATCAAAGTTTGAAGCTGAAGGCTTTACCCATTAGCGATTGGCTCTTTATTTCAAATAGGAGCACTATTTCACCGTGATGCGATCTGTCAAGTTATTCAAGATCTCCATCTTTATATAAATAAAGTTTTTGGTTCTATTCAGGTCAGATTTTAAGTGAAGTGTGGAAGAGCAGCATATATCACCAGAGAGGTCAAATTTTGATATTTTGAATAAAAACTAAATCATAAAAGGTCAAAAATTCTAACTATTATTTGTAAGCACGGATGATTTGTTCACTTCTTTAGCCAATTTAAAAAACCCCATGCCCTGCCCTACTTTCCTTAAGTATAATGTGTTAATTCTATTGAAGTTAAATCCAGTGTGTTTGTAAACCCCTTTCCTCTCTGTGTCCTTGCAGCTTTCGATATGAGCATGCTGTTCTCTCAGGATGTGCTGCGGATGCTGCTGTCACTGCAGCCTGTCCTGCAGGACACCATTCAGAAGAAGAGGTCTGTGCGCTCTTGGGGCGTCCAGGGCCCCCTCACCTGGCAGCAGTTCCACAAGATGGCTGGCAGGGGGTCGTACGGTAAGCAGAACTTAGCACACAACATCTGCATAGTTTATGAATTATATTAGTATATTTAAATGGTTCTTTCTCACAGGTACCGATGAATCTCCAGAGCCCCTTCCCATCCCTACTTTACTAGTGGGTTACGAGTATGACTATGTGGTGCTGTCTCCTTTCGCTCTGCCATACTGGGAGAAGCTTCTGCTGGATCCTTACAGCTCCCAGCGGGACGTCGGATACATGGTCGTGTGTCCAGACAATGAAGCTCTGCTCAATGGAGCTAAGACCTTCTTCAGAGACCTGACAGCTGTATATGAGGTTAGAACATGCTAATAGCATGCTTTTGTTTAATGAGAACTGAGAATATTACAGACCCCCTAGTTTTTAAAGATTAAAAAAAAATTGGGTGGCAATAAAAATAGTTTTGTGGTGGTAATTTCCAGAATTTAGCAGATAGTTTTCTTCTTATTTACCATATTAGGTAGCCTACTTTGTTGAATGTGCATTTATTATGATCTCTTGTCAAGACAAAATTTAAAATGGTAGGGATTTAAGCCAAAAGAAGGTTGTATAACTCTTATTTTTATCCATTTTTTTTTGGTTTTGATCTTACTTTCTCTCTCTCTCTCTAATTTCACTCCCCGGAGCATCTGACATCATGTACCTCGCTCAGGACATGTGTTAGGGCTTCTCCTACCGTAATACACCTAAAATACAGTTTGCCGTAAAACTCGTCAATGGCAGGGAATCGTGTTCTTCTTTTGTTTACTGCACGGAAAAAGTTAAATGAAAACATTTATCGATTTTACAAACATCATAAAACCAGCCATACATGTAAAGCACAAATAATGTCAATTTGGTCACGTATAGGCATCCATAATTCTTGAACAAATCTCTATCATTGTACGCTGCTTGCTGTTTCGTTTGTTCCATTGCTCCGTTTGTTAGATGTTTGCTCCAACTTTCTTTTGCAGTCTGAAGCTTGTTAAACACACAATTTGTGCCGCAGGATGTCTAATCCTATCTTTGCATTGACTTTGATGTAAATCACTCGTGCTTCATCAGCGTCTGTATACTGCACAAGCTTTAAAACAATTACCCGTCTCTCTTCTATGGAATGTAATGATTGTGAGGGCGCAGATGAGACGCCATTTTTTGAGAGACACATATTAGTATACATCACGCGCTGTTTATGCAATGTCTATAAGTCATGTTAAACAATTAATTACAAACTGATATATATATATATATATATATATATATATATATATATATATATATATATATATATATATATATATATATATATATATATATATATATATATATATTAAATGGTTTGAAATTTGATGTTTTATGAGATGATTTACTTTTTTTGGGGAATTATTTTGCATTTGATTGAGAATTTTGCTGGATAACAAAAATTTGTGACTTTTGGTTGAGTTTGCGTAATCGCAGAATAACTAGGGGGTCTGATATTATGTGCTATGTTGGGCATTTGTGTTATTTTATGGTTTTAATTAAACTTCTTTGGAGTTGACTGATAAAAATGTTTAAGCCTGTGATCTAATTGTATCACTTAAGTTAGTTTATTAGGTTTGTCACTGAGGTCACATCGTTTTCACCATTAGCACAGAATGATTTTATAAATCACTTAACAAACAAATAATTCATTACAAATGGTTCAGCTGATAATAGACATTCATCTAAATAGATTTATGCTAAGTAGTAAATCTCAACTGTTTATTATATGGTTAAAAATATAAACTATTTTAAAATAACTGAGTAATTTAATAAGTAATCCAATAAATTGGCTAATAAATCATTAAAATGTAAAGTTTGACATCAGCCTGATTTGGAAAATGATATACTGGTGCGATGCACTGTACAATTTGACAAATAAAATGAATGTAACTTAATAATATTAAAATACTTCTGTTTATGAATTAATAAAGCAGAAGAAATTTTTGATAATAATGGTGATAATACATTTTATTTGGGCCACATGAAGTTGCTATGTTTTTTTTTCCTGTTTTTATATTCTATTATAAGTTGGATACTTTTCCGTTTTATCCATATACAAACTCATACAGGCAATAAATACTATATAGCATAGCTTAACTGAATAATAGCTTGTCTCATTGCAACGTGTAAACTACATCATCACCCAGTTCAGCTTAATTAAGACACTTTAAACATTATTTTATGTAAAGCTGCTTTGAAGAAAATATGTTGTATAAAAGACTATAGAAATAAATGTGACTTGATTGATTATTGTTTGGCAGTCTTGTCGGCTTGGTCAGCACAGGCCCATTGCCAAGTCTCACGCTGATGGCATTGTGACAGTGAGCGATGCTGGATCAAAAGCTCTTACTGATCAGACTCTCATCGACTGGCTTCCAAAAACCATCAACAGCAGCAGCAGCAGTGAGGCTTTAAACAAGCTCAAACTCTACGCCCATGTGTGCCGACATGACTTGGGTATGTGCAGAAACTGAATGTTCTTTGATGTACTGCAGACCACATCGATAAATGTAAAGTTTCTATAATATTTAATGTCTCCTCAGCATCCTGTCTGGCTTCCCAGTCATTGGACGGCTCACTTCTTACCCAGCGAAACCCAGCCAGCTCTTCGCAAACTTCCAGTTCCAGCAGCCCAGTCACAACCGCACAGAATGTCACCCCAACCACCAACAGCAACAGCAACACCAACACTAACACCACTCCGACCTCCACTTCCACCTCCAGCAGCTCTTCCTCTTGTCCTCAGGGCGTAGGCAACATGCCGTCTTCCAAGCCCAATACCATACCTCCCTTTGGGGCTCAGGGCTTGCAGTCCAGCCAGCAGAGTGGAGGTCAGAGCGCAGGGACACTGGGGGACGCCACATCTGCCACCAGCCAGCCTCAGGTCCCGTCTGAGCCCGCCGAGAGGTACTGTCTTTAATAGGCAAAATAATACAGTTCATCAGAGGGTGATTGCTGACCTGTGGTATATTTAAAGATGCTGTTAAATTATTTAACGGATTTAATTCATTATATTTGATTTAATTGAAATGTAAAAAAAAATATATATATGTATATATTATGTATATATTATGTGTGTATATCTTACAGTCTTGCGACTAATTTAGTCTCATTTGCAACTCAAATGACTGCTTACCCTTTAACAGGCTTTTCAACCACCTGGTGGATCTTTTATCCATATCAATATTTTAATTGCTTATTACTATTTACTAGTTGTGTCAATATGTCATCCAATTAAAGGGTTAAATCATGTTAATTTCATTCTTTTTTTCATTCACAATGTCAAATAAATAATTAGTTAGAAGGTTTTAGTATTTCCACATCTTTTACAGTAGGGTTGGGTCAATAGACTATGCTATCATCCATCGCGATGGCGTTTGTTTCTTTGTTTTGAGAAACTTGACACAAAGAAACAAACACCCACTGCCAGCTAGCATTTCCAAAGTGTTATTGCAAAGCAGCACAAACAGCATGCAGAAGTATAAATGCAAGGCAAAGCGAATTGCATGTGCCTTGGGTAATGCTGACTACTGTGCAAAAGTAAACCAGGCTTAAGTTTTAAAATGGCATTTTAGGACAAAAACTATCCACGTCCACACTGGCGTTTGACCTAGCATTTCTGAAAAGATCTCTGTCCACACTATGAAAACACTGAAAACACACGTCACGTGACCACACACACACACAAACACACACACACACTGACATGCGCTGCAGCTTACGCGTGGGTCTGAGCTGCAGGCAGTCAGTGGGTGCTTTGAGCACAAAACCCCAGTGAGCAGTGCACGTCAGACAGTTTATCAAGGATGTACTGCTGAATCGCGTCTCACTATAGCTGTTAAACGTGAAATTTAATTAATCTTGTATCATCTAATGACCCTTCTGTATTTTGAATCTATCAGGTAACATTTTACAGTGTCAGTACATTGCTTCAGTCTTTCGCTTTCACGCGTGCACTTAGTAATTTTAGCGAAAACCTCTGATACTGTTGGCTGGTTCCAGTTAGTTGTTCACCAACCAAGTTTTTCGATGCCATTATAACGACACAGATTACTCCGCCTATTCATGCCAGAGTCTCGCGGAAAAGGTGATTGACAGGTGACAATTTCTGTGTAACTTATCTTTATTTATTTATGATTTGGTTATGGGTAAAACAAAGACCATGTGGGACAGATAAATGAAACGGTAGGCTACAAATAACTTATCGCAATGTTTCACATCAGACATCTTATTAATTTTACTGAATACCAATTTGATTGCAATATTTTGTTGCTGCAAATAATAATAATGATAAATTATATATTCATTCCTTTTCTTTTCGGCTTAGTCCCTTTATTAATCAGGGGTCACCACAGCGAATAAATCGCCAACTTATCCAACATATATTTTACCCAGCGGATGCCCTTCCAGCTGCAACCCATCACTGGGAAACACCCGTACAAACTCATTCACACACATACACTACTGACAGTTTAGCTTACACAATTCACCTATTGCACATGTCTTTGGACTGTGGGTAAAACTAGCACCCAAAGGAAACCCACACAAACACGGGAACAATGATGGAACATATTTATTTAATAAACTTAACAAATAAAACAAGTGCTGTTGTAAAATCTGTGGTAAATAAATGCGATTATGTAAATTATTAGTTCTGCTGCTCAAGAATAAGGGTACAGTCTGTCTATTTATTTTTTATTGTCCAAGACAACAGTTGCTTTCTGATGCATATTTGATTATATAACCATGACGCATTATATTTTGATTTTGCAAGTATTTAATGATTTGCATTGACAATAATATTGTATTATTTAAGATATGTGCACCTCTTCGATTATTAATCATTTGTATCAGCCTTTTTCACATTATTGCCAATATGCTGAAGATTTAAATGAATTCAGTACCTACCCATAAATATTGGCAGTCAATACATCAGTGATCACTAGTTTGTAGTTCATTCTTAGCAGCCCACTTATGATATTTTGCCAATACTCTCATTCATATGAATAGAGCAAACGGTTATTTTAGAAAGACCTAATGCAGTAATTTCCCTTTCTAAGCACTGTAGTTCATTTCTAATGGCCAGACTGCTTTACTACTGATGGTTTTTTGATGAATAATGTTGGTTCTTTTCAGATGTTTCCTCTAATCTATGATTTTTTCCGTCACAGTACGATGGAGAGAGAAAAGGTTGGGGTCCCGACTGATGGAGACTCTCATGCAGTCACCTATCCTCCTGCCATAGTGATCTACATCGTGAACCCCTTCAGCTATGAGGAAAACTGCCAAGGCAGCAGTTCCAGCGTGTGGACGATAGCTCTTCTTCGCTGTTATCTGGAGATGCTTCAGCTTCTTCCTCCACATATCAGGAATGCTGTATATGTCCAAGTAAAAAGACATCGAATATGAGATTACTTTTTCCCCCTACTATTTCCTCTTTGCTTGGATCATCTGAACATTCTGTGTATTTTTTTTTCTATTAGATAATTCCCAGTCAGTACTTGCTGCAGCCGGTCTGGAGTGAGGAGCGCCATATATATGCACAGCACCTGAAGTCTTTGGCTTTCTCAGTTTACACACAGTGCAGACGGCGTCTGCCAACCTCTACTAATGTCAAAACGCTAACAGGTTTCGGCCCCGGCCTGGCAATCGACACTGCACTACAGAGCAAAGAGGTACACATGATAATTGCCAGCATCGCAGGCAAATGGGCTTTCAAACTGGTGTGCTTGAAGTGTTTGTAAAAGTAGCATCTATTCAAGCATTTATACAAGGTTTACCAAAATTTTTATTCGAAATTTAAACAAATCTGTGCCAAATGTGGTGTTTCTTTCTTTATAAAGATAAAGTAGGTGTCCACAAGGGAGATCAATATTGTCACTGGAAAAATTATATTAGAAAAAAAAGATTTTAATAAGAGCATGTTTGATTATTTATTTACTTTGTAATAAATGTCATAACTGGTAAATTTGTATTGAAATGTTATTTTCTTAATAAAAAAATAGAAGGGAGGTCTGAGGAAAATTAACAACATACTTGTTATTAAAATGTCATCAATATATGTGATTTTAATAAGTTGTTGACTTAATTTAGATTTCATTACTGATTTATCAAATTTGATCTTCTGTTCCTCTTTTTATTTTTCTAAACATTTGGCAGTATAAAGGAAAATGTATCACTAATAATAATAATAATGAATAATCATAATAACAAATTTAATTGGTTTGAAATACATACAAGTATTTTATACTTATTTGGATTATAAAAGTAACAACAAAACTTTCATTCATTCTTTCTGAAAATGAGCAACTTTAGCTGAAAAATGTTGCTATTAATGAAAGGACAAGCATTGCTGTTATACACATTTACCCAGTTTACTTTTGTTTTAGTTTCATTTTTTTCAGATAAAGTAAACTTGGCAAGTATTTTAAGTATTGGCATACATTTCTAGGTCTTTTGCATGTGCGTTTATTTAGGGGTGTCAAAATGAATTGTTTGTTCGGTGCACTGTGATGCAGACACGGACAATTCAATATTGGTTCAGTAATGGATCATAAGCGATAATTACGTACTGACATCATTTATCTCATATGCGATATGTAGTGATAGCTGACTATGGTGAGGGAGGCGAGTGAGTTTTTAAAACACTCCAACTACTTAAAAAATGCAGAAACTCTGCACTAATCACTGCATGTGTGTTTGCTGGACAGTCTTTCACTGACACTGAAGTTAGAGTAGAAGCCCTGTTTCACTGTTTTGGAGAAAATAAAAGTAAACTCCATTTTTCTCTTTTTCTCGCTCTCTTACTGTGGACCTTTGTCCTGCTGTTGTGAGATAACGTTTTCTCTCCTCTCAGCTGTTACAGCAGTACATGGATACAGACACGAGGGTGCGTCTGCAGAGAGAGTTTTCTCCTTTGCATCTATCATGGAACAGTTGTGATCGCTGCTGTTTATCAGTGTTACTCATCGGTGAACAGAGCATCAGAGCCAATCACAGCCCTTTCTATTAGGATGTAACCAATCATAGGGGTGTAGGAACTCACTCGTCAACGCTCAGAAAGCAAGGGGGATGTTTACGTTTGTTTATTTGCTATAAGTGCTCATGTTGTCCTGTGCCTGTACTTGAGTTTTTAAAGGTACAGTTCATATATCTGATTTCTTGCATAAAAGAACATAATTTTATTGCAAATAATATATAAATATATTTATACATTTTTAAAAGAAGAATGGTTGTGCTGTGAAGTGAAATATTAAATTGTGTATGAAAAGCATTGTCAGTGCACAGAGATATAAATTTGTACCGAATCGAAGACATGATAATCTTAACCCAACTGAACCATGAGACCAGTGTAGGTTCACACCTCTAGTTTTTTATATGAATACAATGTTTTGCTTGCCCAAAACTAATGATTTTATGTCAATACTGAAAGGGCTCTGTTGGACCCAAAAACTTGTTTTCCATTTCATTCAAATGATACAAAAATATTGTAAGACAGCTGTGTAATAAATAGTAACATTGAGCTCTCTGTCCTTGCCCTCCTCAGCGACCACAGTGTTTACATCTCTACGCACCACCGTTCGTGCTGGCTCCAGTGAAAGACAAGCAGACAGAGCTGGGTGAGACTTTTGGAGAGGCTGCGCAGAAATATAACGTGCTGTTTGTGGCCTACTGCCTGTCCCATGACCAGAGGTGGCTCCTGGCCTCCTGCACTGACCAGTATGGAGAGCTGCTAGAGACCTGCGTCATCAGCATTGACGTTCCAAACCGGTGAGTACTCAGGAGTCTTTCATTTGGCTTGTAGTACACAAACCCATTGCTTCTGTTTGTGAGAGGGAATTTTTGCATTTATTTATTTTATGCACTTTTTTATTATTTATTTATTTATTTTTACAGAGCTCGCAGGAAAAAGGGCTCTGCACGACGACAGGGCCTTCAGAAGCTTTGGGAATGGTGCCTGGATCTTGTACAGATGACCTCTCTTCCATGGCGCATTGTAATTGGCCGACTTGGAAGAATAGGTCATGGCGAGTTACGGGGTAAGTTTTGCAGTGTTTGGTTTAAATTGTGATATGTCAGTGTGTAGGCTATGAATTAATTCAATAAATATATGCAACTATTTTCAGAATGAAGCCCTACATTTGTGAATCAAGTTGTTCTGAGACTGATATTAAAGGCTTGTGTTTAATATCAATAGATGTTTGTAATTGAGTCTTTAAAACACAACTCTTAAACTGGATTCCTGGAGGACCACAACTCTGCACAGTTTTGTTTCAACCCTAATCAAACAGCTGATCCAACTAACCAAAGTGTTTAAGACTACTAGAGAAGATTAAGCAGGTGTGAGTTGGAACTGGTTGGAGCTAAACTGTGCAGAGCTTTGAGCGAGTTTGAGACCATTGATTTAAAGCATAACTAACACATTTAAAGCATAAATGAATAACGATTTGTATTTGAGTTTTATGGTCAGAATATTATAATGCAATTTGTATTCTTACAATGTTTGTTTTATTTTTGTTTCATAATCGTGCTAAAATCACACTTTTTGTATATTTAAAAGAAATGAAACAACTTAAGCCAATAAAATCAGGCCTCTGCAAACTCAAGTGGTCAAAAACTTGGTGCTCTTAAAACAAGTCTAAAAATATTGTTTTAAACATTTGTAGAAAGTAGTTTTTTATTGTTAATTATTGTAAATTCTACAAAAATTCAATTAAAAATAATGTAGCTAAAATGTATTAAATTAGTATTTAATTTACTTTAGAATTAATTATTTTTAATAAAATGCAATGCCTCCCACACATAGAACAAGTTACTTTGTTGACAGACTTTTTATTATTATTATTATTTTTTTTTTTACTATTATAATAATTTTACACTTTTTTTGTATCTGGCCCAGATAGTTTAAAATTTGCAAACGATTAAATGGGAAAATGTTCTCTCATTTACCCATTTCCCAAAGCTGGTTCTGTGTGTGCAAGACCGCCACCACTACAGTCAATTCACACCCAAAGCCTTTTTTGGGACTTCTGCGTCCTGCAGATTTTAGCTCCAATCTGCTTCAACACACCTGCAAGGATGTTTCTAGAATGGCTAGTAAGAGCTTGATTAGCTATCCCAAGTGTGTCTGATTGAGGTTGGAACTAAACTTTGCAGGACACCGGCACTCCAGGACTGAGTCTGGACATGCCTGTTCTACTATATTCTCTGAGAGAAGTTGATCAACTAATTTGCCTTTTTTTAAAAAGTAATTTACACTTTTTATTCTTGTAAGTATAATTTTTTAGCAATATTGTGTCTCTTATTTTTTCTGTTATTTATTTCTCATTTGCTGTATATTTCATTAATTTGATAATGTTAATATATTACATTATATACAGCAGCTATACATAGCTAAAATACTTTGGCAATTAGCAGCTGTACAAAATTTCATGCCAATAAAGAGTGAGAAGAGCTTTTAGCTGTCAGTGGGTGCACATGGCTCATAAATAGCATAAAGGAGAAATAGTGTATTTCTTTTTTATTTCAACAGCCTTTTTTTAATAATATCTGAAACGCATTAAAAAGAAACTGTGTAAAACAGTGTCATAATAAATAAAAATATAGTTAAAATCACATAATTTTGTTCATCACATAGTTATCCATTTGTGTGCTGTGGGTAAAAGGTGTGTTTCAAACTACTGAACAAAATGACTTTACTCCTGAATGATTCATTCCTTCCAAATGTGCAGTAGCTGTTCAATTCATTATTATTATTTTTAATATTATTATTATTATTTTTAAATTGTAAAATAAAACAATGTCAGTTATTCCTGAAATCTTACAGCTCTTGTCTGGTAGCACATGTCCTAGCTTATTGGTCTAACTGCTGTTTCTGTCTCAATCAGATTGGAGTATTCTGTTGAGTAGGCGGAACCTGCAGTCTCTCGGCAGACGACTGAAGGAAATGTGCAGGATGTGTGGCATCTCTGCCGCCGACAGTCCCAGCATCCTCAGCACCTGTCTAGTTGCCATGGAACCACAGGCTTCCTTTGTAATCATGCCAGGTAATTAATGTGGCGCTTTCACACAGAGCACTTGTACTTTGTCATTGTTCAGTTTATCCTTTCAGAAACTTCAATGAAAGTTCAGTACTTAGTCACTATTTCCCTTTCCTTCTCTGTCTCTCCATAGACTCCGTGTCCACGGGCTCCGTGTTTGGCCGCAGCACGACTCTGAACATGCAGACATCCCAGTTAAACACTCCTCAGGACACCTCCTGCACACATATTCTTGTGTTCCCCACTTCTGCTGGCCTCCAGGCCTTCAGCGGTAGGACACTTTCACTTTGGATTTTGTGTGTAAACTAAATTAAGTGCAGGACACTGAAGGCAAAATTTCTTTTTTTATGCACATGTCAATTTTGAGGTTTTGTGCTTTTCATAATGTGACTCATATAAATAAAACATTCAAGAAGTATTTCAAGTGTTTCTTTGACACACTTTATTTACAATTTGCTAATTTGTGTACATTTTAAGTACAAAAATCTAAACTTTCTGTAAAATCAAATAAGATTTCTCTTCATGCACTGGGTCATAAATCTCTGTAGTCTTTACACATGGTTATGTTCACACATTTCTTGCTTGTTTTATGCACTTTTTGGAAGTATCTTTATATAGTATGATAAAAACTAGGGATGCTCCGATCAGGATTTTTTGCGGCCGATACTGAGTACCGATTTTTTGTCATGGTGATCGACCAATTCCAAGCACTGATTCTGATGCTTTATAATGCATAAAACACATTTTCATTCACTCTTGTCGGGTATTGTTCCTAATTCACAGCCATCACGGAGCTGGTATGAATATGCTGGAGACTTGCAGGTCTTCTGACAGATGTTGTACAGTTAAATGAGACACTAGATAGGGGTGATCACTCTGCTCAGGTCATAGCAGTTCCAAACACTGGATATACAATAGTTGCAACAAAGAGACCATCACTCGTGCGAGTCGCGCCAATAAACTGTATAAACAAAGGTTGCACCGCATCCTTATGCATTTTAGCTGCTGCAGTGATTTCTCATGCCCCCACACATCATTCATCTCACGGATCGTAGCTGCTGTATGTATAACCCAGGATTAATGTTTTGTGTGCATCTTCCACTGCTTGAAAACTCGTATACAAACAGTTGGGATCAGTTCATGAGATCAGCCAGATCAGTGAGTACCAATTGAGTCATTAAATTGTGTGATATCCGTAATTATCAGATGATACAGATCTATCGGAGCATCCCTAATAAAATTAAATGATCAAATCTCCTCAAAGCATTTGGTATTGTAAAAAATATCAAATCAATTGACTTTACCCAGTGTTCAGATTTTATGTGCTTGAAATGTGTGTAAGTTGGTGCATATTGCATTCATTTGTCATTTGAATCTTGTAATTCATTTTTGTACAATTTTAAAGGCATAGTTGTCCCAAAAAGCTGAAATTCATGATTTGCTCACATTTTACTTGTTCTAAACAAGTTTTTTTGTATTTTTATATTATTTAAAATATTCTTCAAAATATCTTGTTTTGTGTTCAACTAAAAACAAAACTCAAACTGGTTTGGAGCAAGTCAATAAGTAAATGATGACAGAATTGTAATTTTTGGGTGAACTATCTAATTAAAATCATCAATCTGGGAAGCATGTCGAGACTATAATAGACTTCCTTTTTTAGCCAAATCAGCTGCAACGTGTTGCCTTAACACAAGTTTTGATTGTGTCTGCAGATGTCACAGATGGAATGGGTGGCATGGATGGGATCTTGGACCTGTTTGCCGAGAATGACCTGGTTGATCCCGATCTTATTAACATAATTCCCAACTCACCCACCACCTCTCCAGTACACTCACCAGGCTCACATTACCACCATGGTGGGGATGGCAGCAAGGTAAATTCATTTTTCCTGCACTTCTCAATTAATCCACAGCCCATATTATAGACCTCCTTATTCACCCTATCATTGTCTGTTTTTCGTCCTCAGGGCCAGGGCACAGACAGGATGGAGTCTCACGACGAGTCTCCAAACATCCTCCAGCAACCCATGGCTCTGGGCTACTTTGTGTCCACAGCTAAAGCTGGTCCACTTCCGGACTGGTTCTGGTCCTCCTGCCCACAAGCAAAGAACCAGTGTCCTCTCTTCCTTAAGGTGAGGCTCTTCAGCAAACCTAATAATCGCTTTGCTCCAGAGATGCATTAGAGTTTACTGTCCAAAACACTAATGGGGTTAACAGAGCTGCAGAGATGTGATCTAATGAATGTTTGTGTCTTCCTCTCAGGCTTCTCTGCACCTTAATGTTTCATCAGTGCAGTCCGATGAGTTGCTGCACAGTAAACACTCTCACCCTCTGGACTCCAGCCATACCTCAGATGTGCTCAGGTATCAGACACACACACGTTATACTCCTGCTACACAAAATTAAGCAAACTTACAAAGCTCATTAAACATTGTACATAACATTTTTTTGAGATGCTGAATTTTAGTTTTTCTCAGCTTTCCGTTCCTTGTCATAACCATTAATATTAAAGCATAAATAAAATCTACTTTGAGTTTCACTTTGAGTGCTGTGAATCTAGAATATAAGTGGGCCTTTTCTTTGTATTAAATTGCACATAATAAAATAATAAGACTCATATTTGTGATTTAACTTTTTTTTCAAGATGGTTTTAGATGCAAGTTTTATTTTGGATGTTCCTGTATTTTATCGCTGTAAAAACAAATCTACACTCACTGGCCACTTTATTAAGTACACCGTACTAGTTCCCAGTTCTAGTTCCTAGTTCCCCCTTTTGCCTTCAGAACTGCCTTAATCCTTTGTGGCATAGATTCAACAAGGTACTGGAAATATTCCTCAGAGATTTTGATTTTCAATGCTGCTCTATTGGATTGTGATCTGGTGACTGGAGGCCATTTGAGGTAGGCTGTGGCATTGGCACAATGCTTAATTGGTATTAATGGGCCCAAAGTGTGCCAAGAAAACATTCCCCTCACTGTTTCAGTACCACCACCACCACCAGCAGCAGCCTGAACTGTTGATACATGGCAGGATAGATCCATGCTTTCACATTGTTGATGCCAAATTCTGATCCTACCATCCAAATGTCGCTGCAGAAAACAAGACTCATCAGACCAGGCAATGTTTCTCCAGTCTTTTATTGTCCAATTTTTGTAAGCCTGTAGGAATTGTAGCCTTAGTTTCCTGTTTTTGGCTGACAGCAGACCAGTGTGGTCTTCTGCTGCTGTTGCCCATCCGCCTCAAGGTTTGATCTGTTGTGCATTTAGAGATGCTCTTCTGTATACCTCGCTTGTAATGAGTGGTTATTTGAGTTATTGTTGCCGTTCTATCAGCTGCCATGTAATGGCTGATTAGAAATTTGCGTTATCGAGCAGTTGGAAAGGCGTACCTAATAAAGTGGCCGGTGAGTGTACATGGAAACTGTTTAGGTATTATATTTATATCTGACAGGCATTAAACTAGTTGTTCAGAAGGATCTTTCACTTAATTTTGATCTTCCCCATCATCTTAGTTTATTCCTCAAAGCCTGCAAACTGTTTTTTTGTAATAGCCTCAGGACATTGTTGTCAGACAAATACAAATGTTTTAATATTTACATTCATATTAACTCCCAAGAGCCCCTTTTCCTTTTGTAAAACATGAAATAAATGCTTATGAATATATTCAGGATTATGCTGAAAGAGCTTTTATTTGCTGTTGTCAACATGTCATGCAGAGAAAGGGATTGATTCATTCTGTAGTCTCAGCTGGTCATGTGTAGTCTACTAAGTGATGCTGGGATGATGTAAAAACCTGGTAGACTAATTAGCCACTGGATCTGTTGAGATTTTCCAAGTGGGGTTATAATAAAGGGATTTTAATTAATGAGTGAATTAAGTCTGATAGACACAACTCTGTGATAATTGAATGTTTTGTTTTACAGCAGGAATTACATTGAATCACAAGCTCATTCTTATCCTGTAGAAACGTGTGTTTTTTTAAATAAATCCATGAGAACTCGAGATAACCAGAGCGCAATGACACTATTTGTTAGACAGCACACTGACCACAATGCTATATTGGCACTAGGGCTGCATTATATATATTTACAAATGATTTTAATCATGATACCAGTATATGCATTATCCATATCGCAGAGAACTGCAAGCAATTCAATTATTTTTATGTGCTGCACGCATAGGTTATTTATCAAATATGACCAATCAGATGGGGCCTTTACTAGCTGATGCCTGGCCTCTCCAGTAGGTGCTGTTAGGTAAACCTAGAGCTGAAAATATATACTAACACCGAAATGAGTCAAAATAGACAATAGAGGAAAATGACAGCAGCCAATAAGAATCCGAATTCATTCGTAGTCTTTTAAAGTCTACATTTTTTTATTAGCTAAGAAAAATATCTGTTTCCTGTTTATTTTTATTATGATCATTACATAAATAAAAAGGCATTTAAAATGTTTTTTTTAATAAACTTTTTTAATCCTTGTGTGCTTTTGGGGATGTTTTCATAAACTCTGGGATGATTTTGAGTCGTAATTTGGCCACATCTTTCTCTGTTACAGCAAATGAAATGATTTTTGGTGAAAAATCGTATTTTGACATTTTACAAAAAAAAAAACAAAAAAAAAACTTTGGAATATTTAAAAAAACTCAACTATACACTCATGATTACATGTTGTCAAGGCTTTGCAATCATAAAATGTCATTATAATGGGGGGGCAAAAACAGCCTCAAACAAAACGAAAGGGTAGTCAATTTGAACAATACACAGGGGTTAAAGTTGGTTATTGCGAAAGAAAAGGCCTTATTGCAACACTTAACAATATCACATCTCTCATATTTTCCCTGTATCGTGCTGCCCTAAACCGGGTCCAAGCTGCTACTTGTTTGAATTGAGAAAATATTCGTTTTTGACCACTTTTCCGTCATTTCACACATTAAAGTGAGTTTTAGATAAAAACATGGTGTACACAACAATACTTTAACAATTTATTAAAAATAATCAGGTATATTAGACATGGATGAGTGGTCATGATTTTGACAATGAGATGCTTCCTTAAATTTTTGTTACTTATAAGAAATGAGCAATGCACATATTTACATAGTCATCTAAACATCACTCTGTTGTAATGGCAGCATCTAGAGTTTTATTATCTGTATATCATGTCGGAGATATTTAATCACTTATCAGAGAAAGATTAAGAATTGCACTTGCAGTATATGAGGGCACTGAATCACATTCAGTCTTTTGCACATGGAGTGTGTTTCTTTGCTGAAGTTCACTTTGTGTCACTGATAACAGGGATTTTACAATGACCCCTTTAGCTTCATATTTGTCGTTGTTTTTGTTTTTTCAGATTTGTGCTGGAGCAGTACAATGCCCTCTCGTGGCTGACCTGTGACCCAGCGACTCAGGACCGGCGCTCTTGTCTGCCCGTGCACTTTGTTGTGCTCAACCAAATGTACAACTTCATTATGAACATGCTCTAACAAACGAGGGGCTCTGCCATCAATTCCCACCACAGACCCCACAGAGACACCGCACTGCCGCCGCAGGCCCGGACACGACTGGACAACAACCAACTTCAATCGCACTTACGGCGACGCCAGGCTGCCCAGTTTCTGCTAAGTGTCCATCTCGCTACAGCTGGAGGCAAAGGAAACCAGTCCATCTCAATGAACTCGCGTCCCAAATGAGGCCTGAAGGTGCAGTTTGGGGTCAGGTTTTACCCAGTTGAAATGCCTGCATATATCTTATTTATTGTACGTTTTTAAATGTGTAATTTCTTAATCTTTTATATTATATAAACCCGGGAAGCTGCATATTGCCTTCCCAAATGAAAGGAAAATGGTTTGTCATGTATGTAATTGTCTTAATTACAGAACCGACAAGTGAATTTGCTGTAGGTTTGCTTTTAGAGGAATATTTAGAGAAATATTTTCTCCGCAGTTTTTACGGTCGCCGTGTACAGACGAAGTATACAGGAGCTCACGTTCTTACCTTTGTGTGGTGGGGACTTTAAGATAGGCTGTAGCTACAGAATTCCTGTACAGCAATTTAATGTGTTCAAATAAGAGGACAAGAGGTACATTGTCGGATTATATATTTTATATCACAGATTTAGAGAATTGTGTGTGTATATAAATGTGTACATACAATCGTGTGCCGCTATGGATGGTGCAGCCAATGTTTTAGGAATAAAGTGTGTAAAACCTGAATCTCGCCGTCGTCCTTTTTGCACATCCCGCTTGATTTTGAGCAAATATCTTGGGTTTCTAGCGGGGAGACTTCATATTGCAGGAGGTTTCATCATACTCTCCAGGTATGATAAGCCCTCCAGGGAGAAATTGCTGTGTATTTATTCTGCTCAAATCCCTGTGAAATGACATGGTGCTATTCTCATCAGGCATGTTCGCGTGTCCGTGCGACTGGCTGTGCGTGTGCGCTCCGTTTTCTGATGGAGTCAGACCAGAGGCTGGGTTTAAATGTGTTGCTCTAATGTCGCTGTAACTGTTGATGGAGATCCTGAGCATTGCATCACTTTCTATATTCTTGGAATTATGATTCTGGCTTCTGGGGAATAATCTTTTTTTTTTCCCCCTCCCCTTGTCCCTTTCTCATGTACCACCTCACACTTAATGTACTGCAGGTGAAATATTTTCCTCTGTGGTGTCAAAATAGATTCATTTTGTTTTGCACTCTGTGCTTCATTTGAAATATGTGAAGATCCTACAGGCACAGACAGAGAGGTGTATACAGTTGCAGGCATTATATGCATGTTTATTCGATTATGGCTCATAGATTTAATCAATCTTCATAATATATTTTCTGTTTTTATTGCTTACCCTTAGTCTTTGCATGTCTTAAGCATCATCCATGTTAGGTAAACCTAGAGCTGCAAAAATTATAGTAATGTTGATAGATATATACCTGTTTAGTATGATCATTGATTCATTTTTTTTTTTAGCTTAGCTTAGTTTTTTTACCACGGAACTTATCCAGCATATGTTTTACGCAGCGGATGCCCTTCCAGCTGCAACCCATCACTGGGAAATATCCATACACACTCATTCACTACAGACCATTTAAATTACCCAATTCACCTATTGCACATGTCTTTGGACTGTGGGGGAAACCGGAACGCCTGGAGGAAACCAACGCCAATACGAGGAGAACATGCAAACTCGCAGTAAAGGTCAGTTGGCATTTCTGTGCAGAGGTGACAGCGCTACCCACTGCGCCACCCTAGTATTATCAGATATTTTTTTAAAGTGTTTTTATTGCTCACCCTTAGTCTTTGCAAGTCTTGGGCATGTGTAATAAACCATCATTTAAAAAATACAATAAACAAAAGACCATGTTAAAAAAAAAACAATATAAACCTTTATAAATGTTCTAATCGTTTCCTCTACAAATGCTGTTAAAACTTTATTAACAAAAATGAATAACTATTCACAATTAAAACAAACAAAATTCACTGACCGGAAGTGTGGCTTTGGGATTTTCAGGATTTAGCGGCTTTTAACATGCCACCAGTAGAAGGCAACATATTACCCCTTTGAATATTTTTTTCTTTTTTTTTTTTTAATATTTCCCAAATTATGTTTAACAGAGCAAGGAAATGTTCACAGTATGTCTGATAATATTTTTGTTTTATTTCGGCTAGAATAAAGGCGGTTTTACATTTTTTAAACACCATTTTAAGGTCAAAATTATTAGCCCCTTAAAGCTTTTTTTTTTGTGATAGCCTACAGAACAACAAACCATCATTATACAATAACTTGCCTAATTACCCTAACCTGCCTAATTAACCTAGTTAAGCCTTTAAATGTCCCTTTAAGCTGTATAGAAATATCTTGAAAAATATCTAGTCAAATATTATTTACTGTCATCATGGCACAGATGAAAAAAATCAGTTATTATAAATAGTTATTAAAATTAATATGTTTAGATGTTTAGATCTCTCAGTTAAACAGAAACTGGGGGGGAAATAAACAGAGGGGCTAATAATTCAACTGTATATTCAGTTGTGTTTGAGTATAAAAAGTCTTTGTAATTTTCTTGTTGTAAAATCGAGTTTTGACTGACGTCATCATTTCTGCCCCCATAAAGTTTTGTTCTTAAGTTCACATGAGGTGACCATCTATGAGACGAAAAAAAAAGGCAATTGTGAAGAAAACAAGGTGCGTTTCTCTGATTGTGAACAATAAATTGTCATTTCCGGACAAACTGTCTTTTCAATGTTATTCTAAACATGTTTTTAAAAAGTTGTGGTAACATTGAATTCACTGTAAATACTTTTTTCTTCCTTGTTTAGGCCTTGGGGTGTAAAATGAAGCCTTTTTGTCTGAAAAAAACAAAACAAAACAATATTGGGTTTATGCTGAAAACAAGAAAAGTTATCTGCAAACAGCTACTATTAATGCTCAAGCACTTCAATGCCACTAGGTTTATTTGTGTTTTCATTCCACAGATGGCCTGACCTCCATTAAAGTCTGTAACGACAACTCCTTTTGGCTGTTCCTTTTAGGGGGTCACCACGGTGGATCATCTAGCCCTTTTTATAAACTTTATAAACTATTATCTACCAATTGGTTTAAAATTAAATAACATAATGTCATAAATATAGAGCATTTTGAAAGATATAAACAAAAATGGTCCCAACGTATTTCCTGTTTTACATTTTTAATTTCCATAGCTTCCGAGAACCCAAAAAGGTCTACGTATTGATAAATAATGTTATGATAGCAGTTTTTAATATTAAGTTATAATTAAATTGCCCCCTGTTAAAGTTATGAAATAGTTTGATGACAAGCAGGAAATGTTCATGCGCCAATGACATCACAATGAAATGGCCTGTATCAGAAACCACTTCTCTCGCATATTTCTTCTCAAGTTCATAAATATCTTGCTATAACTCTGTTGACATTTGCACTGGAACAGATACAGAATTTTTTAAATGTTTGTAACACATGCATGCCATATTATTACATATGCTCTGCCTGAAAATATGGTTATCATGATAAATGTGCAGTGCACTGCTATAGACTTAATGTGTCCGGCAGGTGGAGCTGTCGTGCTTCCATTACATCTTAAAGCCACTGAAGAGCAGAAAACACCGACGCAGTCTCAACATCACTGCAGGTAAACCCACAACACACACGTTTGTTCAGCATTTGAGGTGCTTTAGCTAATGCAGCAAACCTTTCACCTCCTGTAATATGTGCACTTACGAAAGCCGTCTTTTATGGCTGATTTTCAAGTTTATCAGCTGTTGAGTGCAGCATTACCTAACTTCATCCCGTGACAGCTGAGATGACCCGAGAGGACGGGGGATATCGACCGCGTGTCACTCAAGCATCCATCGGACAAAACCTGTTAGGCCTCTAATAGCCAAGTTCAGGGCCTTGTTTCAGGCCCGAGGGAAAATTACCTTTAGCTCTTCACCACGCCAGGGGTCTCTGAGATTGGAGAGCGATAGCAGGGAAGGGAGTAATCGGACCCCTGTAATTGCCTGTCGGGCCTGACATTTGTAGTTAGGGAGAGCTGGGAAATGGACCTCACCGACCACAGGATAACAAAGTCATCATTATCTGCGCGTAATGCACTGTTGCCGAGCTCGCGGAGGAATACGTTTCAGCGCGTAATGTGAGGCGATTTGGAAACGCAGCGCTAAATGCGACGGTAATGACTTCTTATTACACAGAGGAAACATCTGGCAGTCAACGTTAATTTCCATATTTAGTCTCCTCTGCGAGGCTGCTGAATGAACGCGTTTGAATATCTACTCGAACGAGGACTCGCTTTCACCTCGTTCCTTTGGGCAAATTGAAAGCGCACTCGAGGCGCAATTTTGCCGCCCTTGAAAATGGAAGCACTGAGAAAGTGTTTTCCTCACCCCGAGCCATTGACATAACATCTGGGTTGGCATCATCTCGAGTAGCAGCCTGTGAATGGTTGGATCTGTCTATCGTATTTCAACCCCATGTGACCTGGTGTTAAGTGTCTCAGGAAATTGCTCTGTCTCCCCACATCAGTCAAGCATAATGCGGGCATCGTATTGCTGATGGAAAATGAATGGCAATAAAAAAAGGAGAGGGCGAACGGGAAGCAGAGGTTCGCCGTCTCTCGTGATGTGACCTGGCACTGCGACCGCCGTCTCCGTGCTCCCTTGAAAGCCGATATTAGGCTAATGACTGCCAAGCACGGACATGAGAATTTAATTAATTGCCTACACATTTCTGCAGAGAAAAGATAGAAAGGCTTAATATAAGGAACAGGCCGATGCCTATAATCGTCTTTTATTATATCTGAGGGCCTGTGATTGCGGTCGCCCCTGCTGAAAGGAAGGCTCTTGTATAACCTGCTTTGCATGTGAGCGGGCCTGAAGAACGGGGGCCACAGAAGACCTTTGCTCATCTGTGGCGCAAAAGCGAAATGTCATTGAATTCCTCGTGGAAAGAGCTCGTTGGTGCAGATGAAAGAGACAGGAAAGCGTGATTAGCTCTGTTTCATCTGATCATAATGTAGCTGTCTGTCAAAATCAATGCACAATTACAGGCTTGGGACTCTGAGAGGAGGCAGGTGGTCCTTTTGGACTGCCAACACGCTCCACAGTGGCCATTGTGTGCAGGATTTTTAAAGATATCTATCATCTTTGAGATGAGGAAATTTGCTCTCTTAAAGAAGAGAATGAAAAGGAAGTCAGTCGGATACAGTGTACTACAGTTTGAAAACTGTTCTTTCTCTAATTATAATAATAGTAATAAATTGCATTTATAATGTTCATTGCTCACACACAAAGTGCTTTAAAAAGTGAAACTAATACAGATAAATAATGGCCATGTGCACACTAAGGTTTCCGGAATGATGGCTGCATTTAAATACAGGGTTGAATTCCTTCTATTCTAAATTTTGTGTGTACAGAACAGGAATCGCTTCTGATATTCTTATAATTGACTCACCATAGCAACCTCTTGCCATTTTGCATATTTGGTATGTGCTATTTGACCACAGTAGTATTACAGTAGCCAAATACTCATTATGGTGCTCAATTTTAGCTAAAGCACTGTAAACCGAAGCTTCTTATTTTGTTTGTCGGGAAGGCTGCTAAGGAGAGCGGGGCACAAATGGCCTGTTTCCACTGAGTGGTACGGTACTGTACATTTCAGTACGCTTTTATGGCCGTTTCCACTGTCAAAGTGTACCAAAAAGCGAA